TAAAAACCTAAAACACACATACACTTCAGCATTTTGGTTCAATCTGAAAGTCTGATAATTTAAGACATAGGGTTACTATAACCTAGGAAATAAAGAAAATATATTGAAGGCAAAAGAAAGTGAGTCACATTGTGGGTACTAAAATGAACATATACACAACATAGACAATGCCCTTTAAGTGATACAGGTGAATTTTTATACCAAGACTAACAGATTTAATAATCCGAGGGTACAATCTAATTTTACAAATCTGGGACCTCACCTATACAGCAAAAAGTACATTTTTAAAGTATCTGGAAAGAAAAGAAATACCTGGACAATTCAGGTCAAGTAATTTTCAGGGGCGGTGGAGATCAATACACATAAATTCAGGGTTTTATGCTTAAATTACCCACACCAATTTTGCTTATGTGGCAGTAAGACACTCAAGCAGATACAGTTAGCTGTTTTCCCTAGTTTGTTTCTATTTTCTTATTTCCAACTTCTTATCTTAATTAAGAAATAGAAAAATGCTTAACAGAAAATAGTTAAAAGGGCATACTATCTCACCTACACCACCTGGGCTACATCAACTTTCAAACAAGAGAATTTGACCCAAGCCAGCAGCTGGAGAAGAGTCAGAACAGAATTTGCTTTAACTAATGATGGAACCTAATCACCCATAATCAACGATATGGAATTATCACTAATAATTTCAATGAAGAGCTACCATCACATTTATACATGAATCACCTACACTATTCCAAGATCTCAAACTTCACATGAAGCGAATTTCAGGCATCTGATATTAAACACAGAAAGATCTATACACCCTTCAAAACCTAAGTCACCATAAAATATAGGCCTCTGACTAGGAGTATAAGAGTATAAAATTTAGAGACAACAAGGAAAAGTTTCAGGCAGTAAAAGACCACTTGTATTCAATGTCAACAATGGTCTCCATAATATTACTACTATAAAATCGTACAGATGCAAAACTAGCACATACTGGACTTAAAAGAAATCTGGATTTTAACAATTTAAACTTAAGTTGAACTAGCACTGTGGTCATATATCTTCAGGCAATGGTGTTTTCTGTCATCAAATGTAACATTACAGTACGATTATTGAATGAAGAAGCCAAGAAAGAGGCCTGAAGATGAAATCTAAAAGTGGATTTCCAGATGAAAGGGGAACTTCCCAGTAACTTTCTAGGAAGCCAGAGATGAGACTCCACTAGCAGCGCAAACTAGTCTCTTGCACACCATCTCTAAACATGTAATCCATATCAGGCATTCTAAATGTGTAACAAATTCCATAAAGAAATGAAATTTCTTGTCTTGATGAAGAATATATTGTTTGACATGAGATCTTATATCCGTAAGCTCTATTTAACCATAATTTTCTATACCAACAAGCTCCTTTCCTATTTACCTAAATCAAATCACTTTTATTCTACCAATAAGCTGCAAACATGCCTATGTCTTGGATTCACAACACACCCCTAAGGAATATGCCTTATGCTGGGAATCTTATTTTTAATGTATTAAATCAGTACAGGGAAAACATTACCATATATATGACAAGAAACAAGAAGATTCACAAGTGTAAGGATAGCACAGACCCATTGTTCAGGAATGTGATTGGTGTCCCATCTAATAGTAGGGTGGAAAGTGCCCAAGGAAATGAACATACAACACAGATATATAGTCAGAAAATGAAGAAGCAGCCTGTGTCTCCTGTTCCCACCTCCACAAAACTCCAGGATTTCATGATAGGATGAATGCCTGAACTACTAATTTTTTTCTTTTTAAAAAGACTTCTCAGGGCAAGAATTCCATAGCTCTTTATTCAGCTCATTCCAACACCTAGCCCAACCAGACAGACTACTAACTTTTAAAGATTATCTACAGAAGCCTGGATACAAATTAGTGTTATTAAAGGAGGCTCAAAGTGAAAAATTAAAACTGAAAAACACAAAGGGAAAAGTTTTTCTTGTTTTTAAATATTTTAATGGAAACATATCTGGTCAGATTTCAAAAACTGGGCTAACCGTGTTTAAACATTGTGCCAGTAGATTTGAGGTGAATGAAAAAAAATAAAACAAATAAAAGTTCTATCTTTCCAAAATAAACGTAATACAATAAAGAAAGCTTTATTCTAAAATGAGTTCAATTTATTAACCAAGCTACATAGCAAAGAAAAATCATTCCAAATTCTGTTTTTCACCTCCACAGCAGTGTTTGAAGTTGATGGGCCCTCCCACAGAGCATGGAAATCTTAGGCAACTCTCAATTTCTCTTTTAAATTAATCTGTTGACCTACTGTCGGTAAACATCCATAAATTCTGCCCCAGCTGAGAAATATTTAACTTTTTATTCAAGGAGGAGTGTGTGGGTGTGTATTTGCAAGGGAACGGTAACTCTTTTTGGCCTTTGACCAAACAGTGTTGACAGTTTTGTAAGTAAATGCTTCTTCCTATCCACGAGGCTTTTTTTTTCTTCTTTTATACTGCTTTTCTCCATCTATTCTGGAATTAAAGCCGGGGCCCCCAAATCCTGCCTCGTCCCTTCACCCTTGTCCAATCCCATATGGTTCCCCCAATTTCCGCGGGGGGTGACACCTGAGGGCCGGGCGCGAACTCCTGGGGCTGGCGCTAACTAGGCGCGAATAGGGCGAACGGCTGTCACTGGGGAGCAGGCGTGGGCCAAAGCCGAGGTGATTTCTGACTGCTCAACGCCCGGCCTCGCGTGGCTGAAGGTCTCCGAGCCCCTCGGTCCGCTCCGGCGAGCCAGGCGTGCAGCTGTCACGGAGCAGGAAGCTAATCGCGGCCTCTGGGCCGCTTCGACAGGCCGAGGAGGAAAAGAAAGTGGCTCACTGCGGCCAATAGCCTCACCCCTTCGGCTAGGAGACCACAGGAACGAAACCCCCGCCCCGGCCTGAAGGCAAGCGAGAGACCGCGGAGCCGCTGCCACCGACTCGGCCCAGCCCAGCAGGGGCCCGCCCAGGGGCCACTCCCCAAGGGAGGCAGCCAGTCACTCGCCCGCCCTTCCGGGCCCGCTCCGGAGGGGACGGTCTCCCGCCCGCCCTCACACACAGCTCCTCAGGCCAGGCCCCCAGGGCTTCGTCCACCTCTCACCTTTGACGACGCGGTCAGCCCCGGGAGGGGGCGGCGGGGGCGGGGGTGGGGGCGGTGCAGCCCGGGCCGGCTCCGGGGCGGCCATGCTGGGCCCGGGGCTCGGCTAGGCGCTGGGCCGGGCGGGGTTGGGGGCGGGGGCGGCGGCTACCAGAGCCAAGCGGCGGCGCCGCCGGGGAACATGGCGGACCCTCTTTCCCTACAGAGGGGCTAAGACCGGCATGCACCGCGCGTGCGGGGGCGGGGGCGGAGCAGGCTCTAGGGACTTGGGCAAAATTACTAAGGCTGGGAGAGAAACAGGACGAGGCCAAGGGATCAGGTTGAAATTCTGAGCAGGCAGAAAAAAAGAGAGTGAGGAGAGAGGGCTGTCTGTGAAGGAGTGCTAAACACGACACCGGCTCTCCTGGAGCTCTCAGTAAGATGGGGAGACGTGATCAAACCTCAGAATCTCCTACTAATAGAGAAACAAGTGTATAACAATTTGGCTACCAGACCTGGGTAATTTGGTTGGTAAGGGACAGGAGAATAGAGAAGGCATTGTAGGTTCTAGAGCAGAAGTGATCATTCGAAATGGAGTTTGAGAATCTGGCCCTTGTTTTAAGAGCGTGGAATTGTCAAGAGTCTGAAGGCACAGTATAAGAATGCAGAAAGAGCAGACTAGCTCCAAGGGTTAAGAATCAAAACAGGTAAGGAGAAAGGATGACACCAAGAGATGTTCAAAGAGTCTACAGAATTCACCTGAAAAGGACACAGCCTCCCTCTTGATTCACTCAGAAAATAGAGATTTGGAAGGCAGAGGAGTAAATGGAGAATTGGAAATTAGTTCCTCATAAATATTTCTGTGCACATACAGAATCTGGGCCCAGGTGACTTATAGAACCTTTATAGGGATGGACATTCATGGGGAAGGGGGTAGTGGGAGAAGAACTGACTGATTAATCAATAATTATTAGAAGAGAGAGTGTGTATGACACCAGATGTACTGAGTCAGGGACCACCAGTGTAACCACTAAGATCTCTTTATCGTGATAGCATAGGATCCAAGTGGGATGAAGTGAGAAATTCCTCCCCATCCTCCTGCTCAATACTACACGTGCTCAGAATCTGTTCATAAAGGATGGTGATAATTAGGTTAAGCTCTGGTCCAAAGGTCTCAAAGAGTACCTTTCTACCCTTTCTTTTTGTCAATCTCAATGATTCTGAGACCTGGGGTAAGAGAGGAGGGAAATGCCCAATGGGTATTCTTTGCCAACGGAGCCCACAAAATATCTTTTAGAGGGAGGAGAATTTGGGAGTGAGGCAGGGGTGAAAATGTATCTTTCTGGCATAGAAGTGCAATAATTCCACAGGGGAAGGGAAGGGGAGGGCCAGCTATGGGAAGAGAACAAGGAAAGGATAGGAGACCCATCACAAACTTGTAGAGGGAGGGCACCAAGAGTACATAGAACAGAACTAAGTTTGTAAGAGGAGTGTGAATGCCCAGAAAATCTCCCTAAGGGAGGATGGAGAAAGTGTGTAATGTATTGAGTGCCTCTTGGCAGGAAACGGGTAGGAAATATACTAGCGACAGTAACAACAAGGAAAGTCACTCCATTTTAGGGCCCATTGACTCCTACCTTGAGTATATATCCTTCTAATCCTTTTTGGCTCTTCACTTTCACTCAGTCTCTCTCTCTCTTTCTCTCTCTCTCTCTCTCTCGACTATAAATATATATATACATATATATATACACACACACATACATATATATGTTTGTGCCGTGGCTCTGGCTTTGGGAGCCCCAGGCCACTGTGAATTAGTATTTCTTGCTTATTAAGGTCTCCCCACCCCAATACAAAAGAGCAAGAGCATACAAAAGGAATTAAATAGACAAATGACAAGGAATTAAACAGAACTATCTTACAGATTTATTCATGAAAAATACTTTACAAAAACAGTATGTTTGACCCTAAAACAGTTCAGCTGACTTTGAGGGTTTATAATGGCGACTGAGCAAGTAGCAGTAATGGCTCTGCTGCTAAGAACAGGAGGGTGTGTTAGTGTGCCTGACTCCATCTGTTCAGAGGGGCAAATGTTATGTTGGCACCTCTGCATTCTACACCTAAGGTTTGGGGACACAGGGAAGACTGACAGTCCATAATACCTGGGCAGGTAGGCTGCCCTGAATGATGTGGTCAGGACCATGACCACGGGACTACATGTCCCTCAAAGGATGGGGTATGGGGAAGACAGAAGGTCAGATAACAGGGATAGATGGATAAAACAAAGACTAGAAGTAGGTAATATAGCAGGGAAAATTAGATAAGGGATCAGGTGCAGGTGAAGGCCTAAAGTATCCAGGAATAAAATGGTAACCCTAAGATCCTAAGGAATGGCTAGTATCCAGAGGAATATGAATTCATCTTTAAAGTGGATCAAATAAGCCCTAAACAGCAGCTGCTTCCTTTTGCTAGGTGAATGGAAATTGGAATTTCAAATATTCCCTCTCAAAGAGCCAAGTCCTGTTAGATGTTCCTGGCACCCCTAGGAGAAACTGCCAACTCTATGTTGAGATGAGACTAGCACAATCCTGGTAGAGATGCAGGGTACCAACTCTGCCACATCGGTTTAACAGAGAAAGCTGTGGCTCCAGGAAAGGACAGGGGTGACCGTTACCACCTGCTGTGCTGCAGGGCTCTAGCCCTGATCTGCTCTCTTTCAGGGGCATCTGCTAGAACAAACGGAAACTCTTCTCCCTCTGTCCTCCTGTGCCCAGACTGCGGGACATAACTGCTTTGCCTCCAGTCATCATCTGGGGGCATATCTACTCTTCGAGGACCAGGGGCTCGAGACCCTGGAACAGGACCCAAATTCCAAGCAGACCTTAGGGGTACATGAAGACTGCTTGATGGTGGAGACATGGAGTGAACAATGGGAGGGTGGGAGGGTGAATGGAAAAGATCCTCCCAGGACTGAGCATGAGGAACCTGAAGGCCGTGGCGTCTTTCTGGTAGTGTGGCAGTGTGCATTAGCTGAGGCTTGCATCCTGGAGTAGTCAGGAATCTGGCCCCAATGTGCTGGTGGGTCTCTGACCATGGTCCCCAGGAGGCATCTGTTCTGGAATGATGGGGGAGACTGCGGTAGTTCAAAGTCCTTCCTGTGTACTTGACCCCTTGGGGAGTTTCACCCCTGTCACACATAGCCAGAAACTGCTGGACACTCCTCGAAGTTCCTGGGAAGAGAAAAGAAACCCAAAGATTGAGCATTTTCAGTAAATCATTCTCCTCCCAGAAGACCATTCCTGGCTGTTCTTCCCAACTCCCCACCCCTCCAACAGCATACACACACAAAGAAGGAAAGAGCCTAGCTTTGCTTTTAATTTCATTTTTTAAAATTCTTAATATACATCAAAATCAAGTCTCTTACTTCCAACCTGGGCAAATGAAACAGTCTCCTGGATGTTGCCATACTTCTACCTTACTCCACCATAATCCTTCCTCCAACACATACACACATGCTCATGAATGGCTCCTTAATATTGCAAATGTATACTCTCATTGTGACAACTCTACTCCTAGAACCACCACTCCAAAACATAACTCAGCTTTTCTTAACATAGTACCTTCACTCCAGTTAAGCTGTCTCTGCTTATATTCTTGCTTATTCTCTGAGATTCTATACATTAATTCCCCTTGAAAGAAACAAAATAACTAATTTTTCAAAAGTCACTTCTAAAAAATACTTTCCATTGTTTATTTTATAACCCATTAACATCTGCATTATACTCTTGTATATATGTATATATATTTACTATTTAAACTCAGCTCTTTAGAGCAGGGAGCCGCCTTCTTTCTCCTCTGTATTCACTGCAGCATTTGGTGCAGAACAGGCTGTAATAAATGCTGCTGACTGATCAGATGCCCGTAACAACTGTCAAAGGAGGCTGGCTACCTGGCTGCTCCACTGTGTAATAGGAAGTCCATCTATCCAGAAGGCCTGTTTATCCAAAGCTCCCTAAAATCTGGACACAAATATCAACAATACTACATTATCTTCTGTTCTAGAACCACAATCCCCTCCCCCTAACCCCAGGGCATTTATATCCGTAAGCCAAGGCTTCTCAACCTTGGCACTTCTGATATTTTGGGCTGATAATTCTTTGTTTGCAGGGGCAGGTGTGGGGAAATTGCCCTGTGCACTGTAGGATGTTTAGTAGCATCCCTGGCCTTTACCTACTAAATGTCAGTAGCACCTCCCCTTTCCCACTGAGAATTACTGCCTTAAACCATAGATTCGGCCTATGAGGAGGAAAAGGAGCAAATCTTGCTGTGGAGGGTCAAAGAAAGCCAGAGGATGCTGCCCACCTTCCCCAAGATTGTCTGGGTTTGTACACATAGCATGGGCATTCCATGTACAGGGTCTTTCCAAGTCTTCCATTCACTCCTTGTTGGGGAGAATCCTAAAGACTGGGCATTAACTCCCCTTGGTCACTTAAAAGCTTATCCTATCATGACTGAAGCAGTTCATTTTCATGGGTAGTTAGATTCTGGGAGCTTTGGTCTAGACCCTTAGTGTTAGAACCTAGATCCTTAGTTGGGTTAGTGTAAGAACCATGTTGCCCAAGAAATGATGCAATCACAATTCATCTAGATCAATGCTTGACCTTAAAGCAGTAATTCATATCCCTTTACAATCCCACCTTGGAACACCCTCCCCCCCAAAAAGTGTACTGATTTGATCCTTCTAGGTCCCTGGAAAGGTACCACATTTCTGGCACATGATATTAGATTTGGGGACAGTTACCTGGGGGTCTATAAGGCTCCCCTGCCACGCTGGGCATCAAGACATCTGGGGACAGGAACTGTGGTTTGGGTGGGTAGAGTTGGGGATCAAGGAGAAACACAGGAGGGTCATGGATGACAGGGAGGGAAGAGGAGCTGGAACAACGGTGCCCGGTTTCCAAAGGCTTTTTCCTCAAGTTTGATGAATCCTTATAATGAGACAAGACAAAAAAAACCATAGAGATGAGGATTAACACACAGCAGGATATGGTTGGGTAAACACAGTGAGGCAAGCAGAGGGAGATGGAAGGAACTAGAATACAAACATGCCTTGTTCTGGAGAGGGACCCAGTTTACTCAGTCACTCTCCCCATCAGCCTCTCTAGGAAACATCCTGACCACTATGAACTGGAGACACCAAACTGCACATCCTCTTCCCTTAACCTGTCTTCCTCATAGCCCTCACCTTCCCAACCCTATCATTTAGGTCTTTAGCAAACTCTGTAACTCTAACAGTAGAATTAGAAAGATTGAGATCAAAATTAAAAAATAGAAGAAATGAGAGAGAAAAATTCAAAAAATCTGAGAGATTGAGAAAGAAAATTCTATGTATTCTCTAAATATTGGGAACTAAACTATATCTCCTTAAATGTACAGTCGAGAAGAACTCTACTAGGCCATCTTCTCTCCTGTCACTGCTACATTCCAGTCTCCTCTCTTGCCTGTCAAGGTTGTACCGCTAATCCCTATGTCCTGCTCTATACACCATTAGTCATTCACTTTTGTGGCAAATCTCAGAAAAACCCCTTCAACATCTAAAACGTTAATATGTCCAAAATCTAACCAACGTCTTTCCAAACTCCTCCTCCTGGTACCACATATTCCTAAGTCACTTAGACTCAAATGTTGACATTGCCCTTAATTTTGTACTTCTCATCCACAATTCCGTTAGTTGCCTTTGCCAAATACAGTCATTTCTACCTATAGGCTTCATATTTAAACTCAACTGGACCACTGCAACAGCTTCCAATCTGATCTTCCTACCTCTAGCCCACTCCTCCTTACTGTGGCCTGCGAGTTCCTATGTGATATGGCAATACCGATCTTTCTCACTTTATCTCCTACCATTCCTGTGTCTTTTAACACTCTTCTTAAAGTTCCTCAAACACCCCAAGCTCATTCCACCTCAAGGCCTTTACTGTTTCTGTTACCCGGAATGTGCTTCCCATGGCTCACACCTTCATATCAGTGAGGTCTCTGATCAAATGTTACTTCCTTAGAGCTGATTTTCCTCACTACTCTATCAAAAATAGCCCTGAGAATAACTACTATTACCTCATAACTCCTTATCCTCTTGCTTTGTTTTATTCTTCTTTATCACACATTGTCTGGGGTTTGTTTACTTATTTATTGTCTTTCTCTCCTAGTAGAATACATTTCTTTTCACTCCAGTAACCCCAGCACCTTAAACAGCATCTGGAACATTATAGGCACTAAATAAATAATATATTAAATAAAATAATCTATATGCCAGAATATCGTATTTCCTTTACTAAATTGTAAGCTATTCAAGGGCAGAATTTGTGCTGTTTCATCAGTGTTAGCTCATAACTCCTCCTACACCCTGGCACATAGTAAGCATTTACCATACAGCCTAAGGACCAGGTGCCAGTCCTCTGAGCAGTGACACAGCCAACTAGTCTTTTTTTTCCGGACAAAAGAAAGTGACACCACACTTCCCTGGTTTCCCTTCTATCTCTCTGGTCTCTTCTACTAAGTCTCCTTTTAGAGTTCTTCAGAAGAACCATCTTAAACTGATACTCTTCAGGGAGATGTTCTGACTCCTCGCCTCTTTTTGCAGTACTCTTTTCTTCTTTTTAATGGTTTTTCAATTCTCAAATCTCAATTTCAAGCTATGTCTCACATCCAAAGGCCTACCAGATATCTTCACTCAAGCTTAATATATCCAAAATTGCACACTTCTCTTCCTTCAAATATATCATATTGAACCCTAATTCCTGGGTATCATCCTTGATTCTACTCTCCTCAAATCCATGTAGGCAGACACCAAACCTCATTGACTTTTACTTCCTAATTGGTTCTCCAATATGTCTACTTCTCTCTATATTCCCAAACTATTTACTGTGGTTCATGATATGACCCTTGTTTATATTCTTTCCAGTCTCACTTGTCAACACTCTCCATCCTGCCCTCACCAGACTCTAATCCTGCCATACCAAATGAGCTTCTTTTAATTTAGTTAATATCTACTTCAGGTCTATTTACCTGCTGTATTCTTTTCACTTCCTCCAGGAAGCCTTCATTAATCCCCTCAAGCCTGGTTTAGATGTCCCTTCTATTATGCTCCCATAGCATTAAATTCTAACATATTATATTGTAATTGTTTGTTTATTTATCTGTCTCACCAGGTAGGCTGTAAAGTCCATGAGAGCAGGGACTATATCTGACTCACTCACCACTGTATCACCAGCACCTGGCACAATACCTAGAACATAAGCTCAATAAGCATTCGTTTAAAAGAAGCAATCAATGAATAAATGAATGAAACAGAGGTCAGGAGAAAGAAAGCCAATTCTCCTAGGAAAATAACAATTTGCCATTAAATGTGTATGAGAACAAATGCTGAGCAGAAAACACCCCTTTTTTCCAAAAGGAATGGCAACCTGCTCAAAGGTGTTTAGGAACTTACAAACAATAAATTGGAAAAAAATGACAGCCTCTTGGAAGGGAAACTGGATCTGAAGGACTGGTAGAACAGGTTTAGTTTTCATTGTTTATCCTTTTATACCTTTTTACTTTTGTACCATGTATTTAAAACCTGTTTTTAAATTTTTATTAACTGACCTGATGAACAAGCTTCAGTGCACTGGTACTTTGCATCTGACCTCTATTGAAAACTCAACTTACCTTGGGCAAGTGTGTGAAATTCTCAAAAGGAAAGATTTATAAACCCAGCCACTGAAACTATTTGAGTTTGTTGACCTCTGCTGACTTGAGTGTCCCAGTCCCTTTCGCCTATAGATTACTGCATTAATTCCATATGAAAAGCCTCAAGGAGGAGGATTTTAAATCATTTTCCTTTACTTGCTAATGCACATGCTTCATTTTAGCTTGAAAGTACACTCGACCCCACTCAATCATCTACTGGGGTGGGGAGGAAAAGGCAAAACAATACTCTATTCCACCTCTTCTTCCTTTGATTAGTGCAATGGGTTCTGACCCAATCAGCAGCCACTGCTTCTTGGAGACTCTTCTCAAGACTACTAGGACTCTTCTCACCCTGGGGAACCCAACGATATACCTTCCAGAACTGCTACAAGGAAAGGACATTCCTCTGGGCTCAATCTTAATGTGTGTCAATAAAACAAAGGCTAGGTACCCTCATTTTTGCTGATTGCACATGGCTTTCCCCCAAATTACAATCTCAGTTTCTCCTGCCCCTTCACCTGCACTATATTTTTACCCAGCAAGAAAAGAGGGTACTCTGAATAGACAGACCCTGATCCTACTTACAAAACTGTGGGAAGAAACTGGAGCCTCTTCCCTCTCTGAGACAACAGTGCCACTGAGACTGCGTGAGATGCGGCGAAAGTTCTCTGCACCATACTGATCATCCTTCCCACACCCTCTGCTGCGGCCTCGGCAATGTGCAGCCTTCAAACACACAAGACATACAGGCAGACACATAATACCAGACTTGTGGTTTTCCCACAGACCCTGTCCCCAAGGATATGGGAGAGAACAGGATAAACTCACTAGCAGAGACCTGAATCAGATATATTTGAAAAGTACTGGCCATGTGGCAATTTCCTCTCACTCAAAAGAAGCCCACTCATAAACCTGTTCTCTTCTAATAGCCCAATATTACCATACCCCTGACTTACTACCAGCCCTACTATTCATATCTCTCCACGATTCCTTCCCCAATACACCATTCCCAGGCCCATCACTTTAGCATCTGAGGCTACTACCTGAGAAGCAGGCACTGTGCTGGCTCCATGGAGACTGTGCTCCATTTCTGCTGTTGGGGTCTTTGAGAGACCAAGGCCAGGGGCTGAGTGCAACCTCCTCCCCATACCATCTGCAGAGCCTAAGAAGAAAAACATAAATACAAGTTGAAGCCATCTCTTCTTCTGGATCCTAAACCCTGAGCCTGGCAACACAAAACTCAGGAGTTCTTATTTCATTAAATAACAAAAATGCATCCCTTAACCCAATGAAGGAAGTGTTCCTGGAATGTAGAAACACGAGTTTCAGAATATAGATAGTTTCCTACAGGCCACATGGGTCTCAGATACGGGCCTTGAAGAACCTTGTAGAGAGGGGGCTCTGTGAACAGATAGCTGAATGTTCCCATCTTGCTTCATTTCATTTTTGTAAATACAATCAGCTTTGCTTGTCTGACTTGGGCCCAAGACTTATAATATACAGAGGAAATTGTCTGACATGGTGATTCTCTAAAGTATCTGTGATGACAAAGGGAGCTATTATCTCCAGTCTAGTTAAGAATTGAAATGACCATAGTAATCATCTATAAAACCTCCTCATTTTTTACATAACAGGAAAATGAGTTCCAGGGTCTGACAGGTAGATAGTAAGTAGCTTGACCAATATCAAAATTCAAGTCTCTTGATTTTCACACCTTCCTATTACTATGAGCAGGAGCTCTTCAACAACATTACTTATATGTGATGCTCTTTTATTTCCTGCATTAGCTTCTCTCAATCACTTAAATTCTAAACAATCATTCAATGCTTATCTCTTCTTCCAAATCTTGCTAGACTGTTAATACAAGAGCTGCTCCAAACTGGATATGTGATTCCCAAGGCGCTTGCCCCAACACAACTAATTAAGCCTTCCATTCTGAAAATGCACGTGCCTTTGACATTTGATATATATGTCTATCACCAATTCATCTTGATTTGATATTTTGATTCTAATATACGTATCTGACTAAAGCATGATATTGCTGATACTAAGCTAGGAGACCAGTTATTTTTGTTTTTTTTTTTTTTGATTGGCACTTAAGCTAACAAGTGTTGCCAATCTTCTTCTTTTTTTTTTTTCTGCTTTTTCTCCCCAAATCCCCCCAGTATACATTGTCTATTTTTCAGTTGTGGGTCCTTCTAGTTGTGGCATGTGGGACACCACCTCAACATGACCTAGATGAGCGGCGCCATGTCCGCACCCAGGATCCGAACTGGCGAAACCCTGGGCCACTGCAGCGGAGTGCACAAAGTTAACCACTCGGCCATGGGGCCGGCCCAGCAAATCTTCTTTTTTTGTTTTTTCTGCTTTGACCAGTTATTTTTAATGTTTCCTGGTGCTTAAATGTAGTGGTTCCAATACCACTCAGATTCTTTTAAAAACATAGCTTCTTGTACCTCTCCACAGATGTACTGAATCAGAATCTTTGTGGTTAGAGGCTGGAATATTTATTTTTAAGAGGCTTCCCCAAAAAGTGTGGGAGAATATCCTCAAACATTGTTGGAGGAAATGTGAAATGTTATAGTCTTTCTAAAAAGCAATCTAGAAATAGCCATTAAAATTAAAAATATACTTACCCTCTTACCCAACAATTCTACTCCTGGGAATAAGAAGCAAAAATACCAGTATATTGTGGCATTGTTTGTAGTCACCAAGAACTAGAAATAATGTAATATCCATCTATAGCAAAATGGCTAAAAACATTATGGTATCCTCAATATCAAATATTGCCCAGCTACTAAAAAGAATGAATTGAGTAAAACTAGATGACCTGGGGGGATTTTCATGAAGTACTGTTGATTTAAAAAGAAAAAAGAAATCTGTAATATTATCCCCAAACAAAAAAACACAGTATATGTAGGTCTATATAGTATTATATGAACAGAAAAATACAGAAATATGCGTTTAGATTGTTACCTGGAAAGCGGGGGATAAAAAGTAGAGACTGATATAAGGGGAGGAGAGATAAACAGGAAAACTGTCTATAATAAAAACAGCATGTGTGCTATATGATCCTATTTACATAAAATTATTTCTCTATTTTTTTTAAAAGCCACTCCTCAGGTGACTATGATGGGGAGCCAGATTTAAGAATCATAGCTGTAATGGTTAAAATTTGGTGCTCCCCTAATCAAGTGTGATTGCTAGACAAAGATGTGGCCATTGGAACCTCCTGAAGGGAATAGACTATGATTCCTTTAAAGATATTTAAGCAGAGTTGGAGGTGACCATCCATAAGTAGTACTGTTGAGGGGATTACTGGATTTGATAGAAGGTAGGGTTAACATGTCTACTCACTGATCAATAGTAACAAGAAGAAAGACTACCAGACATTATGTACTTCCTGATATGATGTAAGAAGTACAAAGCACTACCTATGAAATATTCTTATTAAAAAAATTGAGGGGCCAGCCCAGTAGCATAGCAGTTAAGTTCACAGGTTCTGCTTCAGCAGCCCAGGATTTGCAGGTTCGGATCCCTGTGTGGACCTGGCATCACTGGTCAAGCCACAGTGTGGTGGCATCCCACATACAAAATAGAGGAAGACTGGCACAGATGTTAGCTCAGGACCAATCTTCCTAATGGAAAAAAAAATTGAACCTGATTTTAATCAAGCCTCTAGTCCTAAGTACCAGGTTACAGGAAAAACGGGCTAGAAGAACATGTTTAAAAAAAGGAAAAATTCTACTAGAATATAATCAGCAAAATCTAGAATGTGGAAGACAAATGACCAAATTTCTCAATAAATAATTGGCAAGGGGAAAAAAGAGACAAGAATCTTACAGGCTAAAAAAAAGCCTTGAGACATATCCACAAAATGTAATGTGTGGATTTGGATCCTGATTTGAAATAAACCAACTGTGAAAAGACATCAGTGGAACAATTGAGAAAATCTGAATACTGACTAGTTACTGTATTAAGAAATTGTTGGGGCTGGCCCCATGGCTGAGCGGTTAAGTTCCCATGCTCTGCTTCGGTGGCCCAGGGTTTCCACGGTTCAGATCCTGGGTGCAGACATGGCACCGCTCATCAGTCCATCTTGAGGCGGCATCCCATATGCCACAAATAGAAGGACCCACAAATGAAATATACAACTATGTACTGGGGGATTTGGGGAGAAAAAGAAAAAAAAAGGAAATTGTTAATTTTTTAGGTGTAATAATATTATAGTTTTGCCTTTTAAAAAAGAGTCCTTATTTGAGATACATTCCAAACTATTTATGAATGAAATGATATAACAATATATGATATAATCTCTGGGATTTGCTTTAAAATAATTCAGTGGGGAAGGGAAGTGCACTACAGCTAAATCAAAATTGGCCACATGTTGATAACTAGCCAAGATAATCACTATGGAAGCCAGAGGTAAGTACAGGGGGGCTATTACAACATTTACTCTTACTCTTTACTTTTGAATATACTTGAAATTTTCCATAACAAAGTTATTTTGTATTTTTAAGCTGATGTCTACCCAGCTTCAAAATATTATAAAATTTAGAATATAAGTCAAAGGCAGTGTTTATATAACTCTTTAGAAATTATAATCATGTCAAAATTAATCTGGTCACAAAAGACCATCTACTATATGAATCTATTTATATGAAATGTTCAAAATAAGCAAATCTATAGACAGAAAATAGATTAGAGGTTGCCTGGGGCTAGTGGATAGAGGGGAGGGGGAAATAACAAGTGACTACTAATGGGTAACAGGGTTTCTTTTTGGGGTGAAGACACTTTAAAACTGATTGCGGTGCTAGATGGACAACTCTGTCAATATACTAAAAAATCATTGAATAGTACACTTTATTTTATTTTTACTTTTTAAAGATTTTATTTTTCCTTTTTCTCCCCCAAGCCCCCTGGTATATAGTTGTATATTTTAGTTGTGGGTCCTTCTGGTCGTGGCATGTGGGATGCCGCCTCAGCAGGGCTTCATGAGCAGTGCCATGTCCGCATCCGGGATCCCAAACGGTGAAACCCTGGGCCGTCAAAGCGGAGCACGTGAACTTAACCACTGGGCCACGGGGCAGCCCCAGAGTTGTACACTTTAAATAGGTGAACTGTATGGTATGTAGATTATATATCAATAAAGCTTTTTTTAAAAGAAAGATTTTATTTTTTCCTTTTTCTCCTGAAAGCCCCCAGTACATAGTTGTATATATTTCAGTTGTGGGTCCTTCTAGTTGTGGCATGTGGGAGGTCGCCTCAGCATGGCCTGATGAGCCATGCCATGTCCGCACCCAGGATTCGAACCAGTGAAACCCTGGGCCACTGAAGCAGAGCGTGCGAACTTAACCACTCTGCCACAGGGCCAGCCCCAAGCTTTTTTTTTTTTTTAAAGTAAAAAGTCAGATAGAGAAAGACAAATACTGTATGATCTCACTTATAAGTGGAATCTAAAAAAAGCCAAACTCAGAAATAGAGAATAAAACAGTAGTTACCAGGGGCTGGGGGGTGGGGGAAATGGGGAGATATTGGTCAAAGGGTAGAAACTTCCAGTTATAAGATGAATAAGTTCTGGGAATCTAACGTACAGTATAATGACTATAGTTAACAATATTGTATTATATACATCAAAGTTGCTAAGAGAGTAGATCTTAAATGTTCTCACCACAAAAAAATTGTAATTATCTGTGGTGTTGGTCATGTTAACTAACCTTATTGTAATAATCACTTCACAATAGAGTATACAGGTATCAAACCATCACATTGTACACCTTAAACTTACACAATGTTATTTGTAAATTATGTCAATAAAGCTGCAGGAAAAACTAATTTGGTGCTTAATGCATGGCTTACAATAAGATAAAGGACTCCCCCCCAAAGATATATCCTGTCATATATGGACGCTACTTGGCATTCTCCTTCATCATCTACTTCCTGATTTATTTCTCCTGATCACTTCTTATTCTATCTCATGTCACTTCTTAAAGACTCAATTTAAAACAGAGACTCTAACCAAAATGTGTTTGGTTTGACAAGTATTTTAAGAACTGACTTATTAAATGGGTTTTTAAAATTAGTTCTTGTTCACTATCAAGTACAAAATTAATGGTTGGTAGGTACTCTTTCATATTGTTTCCAGAAGTATAATCTTCCTAAAGGCTAATTTGCAAGTATGTATTAAGAGATTTTTAAAAGTTTATAACCTTCAACTAGTTAATACCCTTCTAAAAGTTTATTCTAAGGAGCTTATCAGAAATGTAGCCAAACACTTAAGAATATAGATATTCATCACAGTGCTATATTATCAAAAAATTGGAAGTAACCTAAGTTTCCAACCACAGTGGAATGGTTGAATATATTATGGAACATTCATATGTAGCACATTATAGTCATTGAAAGTAATTTTTTTCAAAGGGAAAATGCTCATGGATATAATGTAAGAAAATCACAGGACTAAACTATATACATATATTGTAATGATCCTACTTTCTGTAAAATCAAAATGAAATAAATATATATGTGCATAAAAACGAAGCCACAAGAAAACTCATGAAATTATTAAGAGTGGGATTATCAATGATTTTTGTTACTTGATATATTTTCAAAACTGTCTACAATGAAAAATGTTGCTATTTTGGGTGATATAAGGGGTTTTTTGGGGGGTAATATAATATTTGACATTCACTTAGTTCAATTTTAATTGCAATATATTCTTTTATATGTGTTTATTATTATTCTTAAAACACTTGACATTTGTGTCTTCTTTCTCCCTTATATTAAACAGAAAGCTAATTGAGGATGACTCCAGTTCTTCCTCATTTTTTAGAATATTCCCACACTGCCCTGTCCCATGTACCTAAGGATCACTTATAAATGTTATTGCAAAGTCTACCCTAAGATGCAGATTTTTTAAAAAACTTAATATCAAATCTTATATTTATGTGATATCCCCCCTACCCTGCCAGCTCTGGGAACATAGTAGGTACTCAATAAACACTTGTTGTTTGGCTGTAATTAAACAGTGGTTGGCAGTATGCAAGCAACCTGTACCATTTTATGGAAACTGTCATACCTGAGCTAAAGATAACATTCTCCGAGTTCAATTTCCCAGAATCATACGTATCATTTTAAGAGCTGGAAGGTATCTTTAAAAGAATTATTCAATCAATTCTTTCATTTTACAGGTAAAAACTTGGCCCTGGGATTTTAGTGACTTGTCCAAATTTATACTGAGAGTCAATGATGGAGCCAGGACAATATTCCAGGCTTTGGAGTTCTTAAGTGCATCAATCTAAGTTATAAATATTCTTCATATCTTCAATTTCCAGAACTAAGTCTGTGATGTGCATTTAAGGTGTTGACATCACTCTTCACATCATATAATCTCATGGAGAGTCAGTGAACAGGTACCCTATAGGCATATCACCTTGAAAATTCTAAACCTGGCAGTTCCTGAAGGGATCAAGGAAAACTATTGATATTGCTGGTTCAGTAATGATCTGGAAATACCACATTGGAGACTTGGCTCAATGTAGACATCCTTGTTGCAAGTTAGATCTGAAAGCTAGATCTTGGGATTAGTTCAGCTTTTAAGCCACAGAAGGATGACTTTTCCTCTCAGCCTCCCCCACCTTATCCTGAGTCACTCTCAAAGACCTATGAACCATTCCTTAATACTGCATACTACAGAATCTCTGGGCATATACTCATTGGTCTCTTTCTTTAGAAGGAGGGAACCAGACTGTGAGCGATGATTCTGTCCCCATTCTTCACTCCAGCTAGAAAAGTATCTAGCCCTTGTCCTGAATTCTTTATGAATAAAGTCAGTTCTACTACCACCTCTTAAGCTAGGGATATTATTTGAACAGACCACCACCCCCCCTTCTGATCTTTTCCTCCTGTTTTTAGCTTTCATATGTCCCCCGCTCCCCCTGCCCCTGTTGCATTCTTACCTGTTAGACTAAGTGGATGCCAGGTCACATCTTGCTGCCCCCATCCAGAACAGCCAGCTTGAGAAGCCTGAAGACTGGCCTGGTAGAGAGACTCCAATTCTGAGGTCTCCTGCTCTGTGTCTTGGTTCCAATGTGGATGCAAATGGATGTGGTTTATTTCTGGATAGGCTACACAGATATGGGAATCGTAGGGGGAGGACTTCATTCCTGGCACAGGGACCCCATGTTTAAGCTGAGAATCACAGAGCCTTGTGACATTCACCCAGGAATCCAAAGGCAAGGAAGTCCCCAAGTCAATGCCACTGTCCAGCTCCTTAGGCCTAGCATTGCTCACTTGAGACGGCTTTCCTTGGTACATACCTGGCTCTGCCAACCTGAGCTGTCCTCCCCTAGAAGTTTCACCATTAGGTAGCCCAGAGTTCATGCCAAGAGAAGGATGATCAACAGGCTTTTCCCAGGAAGGCAGTCTGCCCCTACCGTCCACAGAGGATTGCTGTTTTGCCCAAGGCCAATGGCCTTTCCCTTGACCCTGTAGGAAAGGAGGCTTAGAGTCAGAAGAAGAGTTCTTCCTTAGACTATTTGGCAAACTTCTATCCTGGGAACCTGTACCATCCTTTGTGGAGGCACCCTGCATTCTCTGAAACTGCTCTGCCAGAGAGCGGACAAGCCCCTTTGTGCTGGGAAACTCTGGCCTATAGGGCTCCTCATTGCCTCCATCCACTTTTGAAGTCAAAGTTTTCAGGCTTTTGGTTTGGAAGCATTGGTTAGTTTTCTGTACAGTATCAGGAGAGTGAAGCACAGATGAGTAAGCAGCAGGCATTATGGGGTGGCAGCCTCTGTACAGGGGAAGTTTGGGCTGAACTGATGAACTTGAAGGACTACAGCCTAGGCTGTGTGCATCTCCTCTCTCAGAGGTGGTTGTTCCAGTTGGATGTGACCAAGGCATCACCTGGGATGAGTCAGCAGGATCCCTCTTGTCTTGGAATAGCTGTTCTTGATCAATGCCTCTTCCTTCTTGTGGGGGGTACCTGATGCAACTGCTGTTGTCACCCCTGCAGCCTTGCAGCTTACCCTCTGGTACAACCAGTGGTTCCCAACCATGATGAGAATTCTTCTCAGTCCTCCCTAGTGTTTTAGGTAAGCCCGACCTATGGAATGCAGAGGGGTCAGTGCTATCCACCTCAGCTGAAGTCAGAAGGTTTGAGGCAGACTTATTGGGGGAATTGTGCTGTGGAGCAGACAGGGCAGATGACTCTGGGAATAGTGATGAGCGCAACTCATGGCAGGAAGCAGGTGAGCGGACGAAAGAACTGGCCCCAAACTCTGTAGTTGTGCAGGGTTCCAGTTGGGCCTCCCGGTTTAACAATACTTGGAGCGGGATAGGCTGTTCACTGAAAGAAATGGAGAGAGCCAGTCATAAGCTGCCTTGATTCCACTTGCAAAAAGAACTGTTCACTCAGTTCTCATTTCTAGCTATCCACAGAGGGAATGGTGAAAATAAATGAAAAGAAAAGCATAAGTAGAGCCAATAATTCAGAGGTTTACAAGAGAAGGCATATGGTCAGCTCACACCCAAACAACAGGTAGTATTAATCCTCTTTATTGAATGCCCTCACCACAGTTGCACACAATATTATTACATGAAGCCCTCACCAATATTCCTCACTACCTGTGAAGTCCTGTTCCCATCTTATTCTACTCACAAATTAGAAAACAAAAATTGCTAGTCCCACATGCAGATGACATGGAAGGTAAGCAAAGCCTAGAAATCACTCATACCTGGGGTCCTGAGAGGCAGACCAGCCAAAAGCACCAAAAGGCCACATTTACAGGACAGGGTGATTTTGGCTCATAGATTATATAGAAATCAACCATTTCAAGTGTGTTTTCATAATCTGGATTTGGTTGTATTACATACTGAGATGTTTCCCCAAAGTAATGCACTGTAACTCTCTTGAGATTTGGGAGTGGAAGTAGGGATTAACTGCATTTAGCTGGTTTCTCACTAATTGCTTTGTACTTCTGAACTAAAAAACTCAGTATTAGAAGCACTTAAAAAAAAACTTCAATCACTCACATACATCAAATGGCATAAGTTTTCTGGAGAGTTTAGTTGCCTAAATTCAAAACACATCTCTGATGGGATTCTTGGATCAGCATTCAATAGTGGAATATAAAACAGGAGAAAAGAAGAAAAAGGAAGATCCTAGCTACAAGCACTAAATTTGAATGATAATATACCATAAACTTTTATGGGTATAGTCACCCAGTCACCCTTACCACATTATGAAGAATATGATATTATACTTATATGGGAAACTAATGGGAGTCAAACAGATGTGGGTTTGGATTCCATGCTTCTACCACTTACCAGCTGAGTAATCCTGGGTACTTTATTTATATTATCCTCTCTGAGCCTGAGTTTCCTTATTTATAAAACATTGCTAAATAATAGTCCCTATCTCCTAAGGTTATTGTGAGAATTAAATAAAATAAAACATAAAGTGTCTAGCTTAGTGCCAAGGCATAAATAAATGTTAAAAAACCTCTTAGCTGCTTTTATAATATTTATTTTATGAAAGCTGCTCAGGCTTGTTAACAGCCAAAAATAATTTTTACTTAAATCTATCTATTCTAAGTAACAGCCAAATTCAAGGGCTAAAATGGGGGAACTACACCAATGGCCACAGGGACTTTTTTCCTAGTCCTTACTATAGGGAAGCAAAACAAAGGGAAGCATTGTGTCTCTTCTTTCTGGTTCAAGAGAACAAGGAAGACTGCTTTCTCTGCTTCCACGAGTGATAGGAAACACTGAAATACCAAAATAAATCATATAGTTTCTCCTGCAATATGAAATGTAGCTCAGATTGCCATGTCTAAGAATATAATACATACAAACTTAATAATCATGTTATTACATAATCCAGGCACAAACTCACCCACAGGAAATATGGACAAGTGGTCTACTTATTATGCTATACTTTCTGCATCTTTCTAGGAACTCTTAAGAAAAGGACCAGCAGGGGCCAGCCCAGTGGCGCAGCAGTTAAGTGCGCACGTTCTGCTTCGGCGGCCCAGGGTTCGCCGGTTTGGATCCCAACTGCAGACATGGCACCACTTGGCATGCCATGCTATGGTAGGCATCCCACATATAAAGTAGAAGAAGACGGGCACGGATGTTAGCTCAGGGCCAGTCTTCCTCAGCGAAAAGAAGAGGATTGGCAGCAGTTAGCTTAAGGCTAATCTTACTCAAAATAAAAAAAAAAGAAAAGGACCAGCAGTGAGAAGAGTTTTTCACTGTATGTCTGACCTGAGAGAAGAAATCTTTTCAGAGGACTCTTCTATCTCCCCTGTAGCGCCAAGACAATGAGAGCTCTGGCTGTGGAGCACCCATGGTCACTTCCTCCCCTGGCATCCATAAACTACAGTGGTTCCCAGGCACTACCTTGTTGTCTGAGGGAGGGCCTCCCCCTGTGTGAGGAGGCAGGCTGAGGGCTGCGACGGCTGCTGCGATGCTTGCTGCTGCTGCATGCGATCCTGCAGGCTCCGCGCTTTTCGAATACTGATTTGCAACTTCTTATCGACTAGGGCTCTGCTGTGCGTGCTAGAGCTGGCACCATGCAGGGCAAGTCTTAGTTTAGCTAAAATGCAAAAGAAAATACAGCAGAAACAGAACACAAAATACAAACAAAAATAAAAAGAATAAAATTGAACCAAAAATGAGCAAAGATATGCAGTAAAACTCAAAATATGCAGCAGGAATGCAAGGCGTGGACCATGCTTATGCTGTCCAGGGCACAGAACAGGCTCTGGCTATAAAGAACATTCATAGAAGCCATGGAGGCCAAAGAGGTTAATTCAAATTTAAAAAAACAAATGAAAAGAAAACAACTAAACTAAAATGAGTCTGGAAGAAACTGGTGATTCCGTCTTAGAGGTTGCCACTCTCATTGTCCTTTGCAACTGACCTGTCCGACTCTAGTCTCCACTCTCTGCTCCCAACTCCCTCTTCCTGACAGCCAACAGCAGAAATAAGATCCAAACCTGTATCTGTCTTTATAGAACACAGCCTCTTATGGGTCACATTTAAGAACCAGATACAAATTCTAAGCCTTAGTCCCTTGCTGTAACCTTAGGGTGCGCCATACCAGGAAAGCAGGGGAGAAACAAAGAATCAAATATGCAGTGCAAAGTCACGGGCCTGGGAAGTCACAGCCAACTTATTCATTTCTTCCTACCATAAGCTCCACCTCACTAGTCAGTAACTAGAGAAAGAGTAGACTAACCTCACACCTGAGGTCTAACTTTATCTTGGGATGAGAAGGCAGGCACAGCTGGATAGTTCATCTGTGGACTCCTGCTGAGGTTATTCCAGTACATATCCATAGGCCACAGTGACAGTGCGTGGCACACTTAGAAATCTCAAGGGCAAATATAGCTAAAGGGCCTCAGTTTGGGAGAGTGAGAGTGAGGAGACATAAAAGCTGTTTTTATCCCATCTGAGTGATGACACTAATAATACCTACTGTGAAGTTAGTTAAAAGTGCCATAGCCATAGCAGTTAGAGTTACTTACAGATAGCTTCATTACAGACAGCCAAAGCTGCAGCATAGTCTCCCTTCTGTTCCAGATGCAGCGACTCTTCAAACACTGAATCTGCCTCTTGCAGGGACCTCTCAAAGCCGTTACTCCTCCCTGAAAGGGCCAGCACTTTTCATTTTCATTACAATTCATTCCAATTTTTTCTATGTACTGTTGTTTCCCTTCAGTACACATAGATTCTTGCTGCTGAGCCTTTGGTCTACCCTTATTCCAACTGTCCACTGCTATTAAGAATTCTCTGAAATACACAAGACACCCATTTTTGCCTTAACTGAGATCTTACCAAGGTCATGAAAGAGAAGCATGTCATTGTCCTACAGATTCCAACTTCAAGACCTCGTAGGGGGTCCTTCAAAGAAAGAACAAACTATTGTCTACACCATAAAGGCGGGTTCCTATGCCTGGAACTGACCTGCTTTCCCACAATAAGACACATCTTGCCAACCAGTGTCAGAATGTCTGCTGAGACCTCCACTGCTGTGTTAAGGCAAAAGTGGCTTTACTACTCTGTGGAAAGCCATCTGTAACACTTCTTTCCTACATCAATTCACAGTCCACTCTGCACTACCCTCAACTGAAAAATCAGTACACTTCTTGGGCACAGGTGATCTACAGTTCCTAACCTCAATATATCTACCAGGCCAGTTGAACCGTCTTTGTTGTTGGTTTGCACACACATACCTTTCATCAACACTGCTAAGTATTTACTTTTATCATGCCCTTGCTCACCAAATCTACTGCAAAAAAAGTCAACTTCCCATACAGTGAGCATGAGATATTCCTCCTCTGAATATCTGAAAGTGGAGATATTCACACCTCTGAAAGTGAATGTGTGCCAAAGCAGGAGCAGGAGAGTCCAAGTGAACAAATGAGAAAGTACCATAAGAGCAACTTTTGCAAAAGAATCCTCAAGTTTATGTACCCCCCCCCCCCACCGCCTTTTACTCACTCCTAACCGTAAATTGGTAGTAAGCTGTAATGTAAGTTGACCTACAATTGGGCTTAACAGTGAGTTTTCACAAGCTCACAAGAAAAACAAATCAAAATGTCAGAGTCATTTCTCTGACAATGTCTCCATCCTCCACTTACCTCCAGGTAACAGAGCCAAGTAACGGTTCTTCCGCATCCCTAACATTCACTCCCTAACTCACCATGGCTTTTGGAGAGCAATGGGAAGGCAGTGGAAGCAGCAAGTCGGTTCTGAAGAACTAGGCATTCAGGTTCTAGCCCACCTCCAGAGATTTGGTCCCCCACTCTCCAGGCCTGAAGTTTTCTCATATTGAAATCAATTTAATCTATCAACTTAATCTATAAACAACCTTTATAATTTGAGGTAGTGGCTAGAGCCATTAAAACAAAGTTCCCTACAGAGATATGGGTGAACTACAATTGATCAATCACTATACTAGATTTTATCTTACCCTCTAGAATTTTAGCACTCTATTCCTTGCTCCTCCAGGAGATGCTGAACCAAAGTATGGAGAATTGACAATGAAATATAGCCAGAAGGATTCCCTTTCAACTTTAATGTACTACCCAACTGACAGAGGGGGAAATAAAGGCGAGGGAGGGAGATGACAAGATCCCTCTTTCAGAAGCAATATAAACTTGAGATACCAATGTGATATAGCTTGAGGACAAAAAGTAAGAAAAGACTATCCAAACATAGGGACAGCGAATGAATTAGGAATTTAAAACTAATTTGGAAACAAATATAACGCCTTGGGAAATATAAGGCAACAATTGCCTTGAATTAAAAGACAATAGGATTAGAAGAGAAAAGTGGCCCCCAAATAGGGCCCCAAATTAACCCAGGAAGCTTCTCTAAGTGTTGATAAAAAGAGGGAATTGATCAGTAGAAAGTCATCACCCAAAATAGTATTGACTCCTATTATTTACACTTCTTTAGCACAATTTGTGATAACTGGGGGTTCTGAATAATAGAGTAATAAATTCATTTTATAGAAAGAAAAATGGAGATACAGTTTTCAGAGCCTATTTAAGGTTAAATACCTCAGCCTTTTGAACTCACATTTTGAAGGCTAGTCTCTTATGATACAAAGTGATGTCCTAAAGCAATTGAAGAAAAAAATGTGACTAATGTGGGGCATCTGAGGAAGCTTAAGTAAAGTCCATGAAAATCGTATGAGATTGGGAAATGAATCATCAGAGGAGCAAAAGGCAATCAGGCTCTGTGTTTCTTAGAACCTGTTTGGCAGATCCACATTCCTGAAGTTACAGGTGGGAAATCTCAAGGGTATGTTTCTGCCCAGCAACTAGGATTCCCCTCACTGTCAGAGTGGCTTGTTCACTGCCCTTTCTTCTGTTTCTGAATTGTGACTAGTTTTATTTACACCTTCTATAGATGTTCATGAGAAATATTTTTTGTGAACAATATACTATTTCTAGGCTATAGGCTTTTAATAGATGGGCCCCAAATCAGTGACTGTCTGCAGTCAACAGGCTTGTCACCTTCTACTTTAGCTCTCACTAAAATGGCTGAATTATAATAAAATATAACTTTGCTAAAAAGACAGGGAATTTACAAGCTTTAACGCTTTTTTTCTTCCCCCCCTCTCTCTGTCCCCACCACCTGCGACCTAATCTCCCAAGAATTACCCTGATTCTGCAGTTCATCCAAGTCCAGGAAGCGGCTGGGATGAGGGTTAAACCCTTTAGCTGCCTCTAATTCCTTCTCCTGTTTCCTTCGAAGTTCCTGTTCCTGGGCCCTCCTGGCCACCTCTTCCTGCAATTCATCCAGTTCGCTTTTGGAAGATATCTCCCCACCTGGAATAGAAGCAAGGGAGAAGAGAAGTTGCCAGCATTCCACAACCAAGATTAAGCACCTGCTGCATTTATGGCCACTGCACTGCTTTTCCTTTGGAACTCTTGGCTTCAATTTGGAGTTCATATTTTGGATAGCATTTTCCATATCAGATTCAGCATGAGACCTGGACTGTGAATGATAATAATAATAATGAATATTTATTGAATGCTTAATAACATGACAACTAACATTTGTTGAGCATTTACTATGTGACGGGCATAGTTTTAACTCTTTTACATATATTATTTTATTTAATTCTCACAACCTGTGAGGTAGATATTATTACTGCCCACATTTCAGGAATGAGGAAACTGAGTCACAAAGAGGATAAATAACTTGCCCAAGATAACGCAGATGGTAATAGTGGAGCTGAATTAAAGTCAAATAGGTTAAATTCACAACCCATGCTCTTAATCATCAGGGAGCATTCTCTGCCACATGCTGCCACTGACTTACTGGGAAGCTTCAAGCAAGTCAATTTCTCACTCATAATTTCTACCATCTCTTTAATGAGTTTGTAAAATACCTATAGTAGTAAAAACTTAATTTTATCAGTGTTCACAGATGGAACCAAATAGATCTAAAAGGATGTCCATGATATATTAAGCAAAAAATAGTGACAGAATAATATGTATAGTATGACTTCATTTTATTTTTATTTACTTATTTATTTATTTATTTATTTATTTTTCTTGTTCTCCCCAAAGCCCCTCAGTACATAGTTGTATATTCTTCGTTGTGGGTCCTTTTAGTTGTGGCATGTGGGATGCTGCCTCAGCATGGTCTGATGAGCAGTGCCATGCCGGCGCCCAGGATTCGAACCAACGAAACACTGGGCCGCCTGCAGCAGAGCACGCAAACTTAACCACTCGGCCACAGGGCCAGCCCCTTCATTTTATTTTTTAAAAAATGGTAGTAATAAACTTATCTATATAATTGTATAAGCATAGAAAAAGATGTAGAAAGATATATACCATAATGGTAACATTGGTTCGTTCAATTTGAAGAGGCAAAGGGCAGGTTACTGAATTGTTGGACTTATTTTACTTCTGTAATTTTTTAAAAGAGTGATCAAAGTCACCACATAAAAATATTTGTTTTGTGCCAGACTGAAATAACTGGATCAAATTGTGGGGCATAGGTAGGGTTCACTTTATAAAGAGGATGTTGGGGTGGTATGACGTGTGAGGAATTTGTTATAACTCCTTGCTAAATATCTTTTACCAGTTGAGGAATCTACCCAGCTGGTCTGGAATTAGGGCTATTAGAGAAATCATCAGATTCTGTTTTTAATGTGTTGAAAAGGTATTAGCTATCTCAAGAAAAGAGAAGGGTGAATAGGCTCATGCATGATCACAGTTTCCCAAAGCAATGTTAGTCAATATGAAATAAATTAAAATGTGGGAAATAAACTAAATGCATAATTTCATTAGGAAGCATGAATTTCTTCCACAAGTTTCTAACTATAACCTACTCCAGCCCAGGATTTCAGAGATACCTGCTTCTACAGGTATTGTTCTGCTCTGCTAGATGTCAACAACCTATAGCATGCAAGCCTAAAAGAGTTCATGACGTTTTACTACTGCTGCATACCTCCCTTCCAGCCACCTCTAAGAACTTTCAATAGTTATCTTGAGAATTTTTGGTCATACCAATAATGTTCCTGGTCTCATCTCTACAGGCCTGCACACAGTATTCTGTCCTCATTCCCTAGTAAGCTGGCCACAGATCTACACCGAGAATCTTATCAAATCAGACCATAGTTAGATTTCTGCCCACACACACTATTCCAATTGATCTAACAGAGCAGAAAAGAAGATGAAACGTATCTTTCAGAGAAGCTTGACCTCTAAGTTAGACAAGTAGCTCCCAGAACTCCTCAGCAGGCTAAACGATGTTGTATACTCACCACCTTCCCTCAGTCATTGCAAAAAGTCTCCATGCTGGGGACACTACCTAGCTAGCACCTCAATTTTCAGTTCTAAATAAAAGATTTATTTTGAACCATTTGGACTGCATCTTCACTTAAGTAGAACATGCACTGTAAGTATATATGTGTGTTGTGAGAGGAACGTAAAAGGTAGCTAAACCTTACGACTACCTCAAATATCTACCCTTGGTGTTTCACACCTGAAATTCCAGTATCCCTTTATCTTCAGACTTTGACTTGTTAAAATGCTAGTTCCTCTTAGAGAAAGCATTCTTTAAACTGTTTTCCATCACTCACATTTAGTGTGAAGGAGTCAGATCATTCCTTGAGAGTTTGCTTTGAGAAGGAGGGAGTATGAGACACAAGGCACTCTGAAGAATGGAAAACAAAACAGGGATACTGGACAGGATGTAGAGGCAAGGGTAGGCTTGACCTGCTTATTTCCCAGTTTTGCCCATAGCCTACATATTCCACCTTGTCTCTCAATTCGTAGTACTAAACAATAAGAAATCCATTCCCAGAGCTTCCGGGTTGGTGAACACATGGAGAGATTCAGGGACAGTGGCACACTTGGAAAGGGCATGGAAGCTCTGCGTCCTTTCCTCACACCTTGCCCTATGCATCTCTTCCATCTGGCCGTTCCTGAGTTAATGTCTGATTTATTGAGAAATTAAGCATTGGAGGAGAGTGACGTCAGCATCGTGGTGGAGTGAGCCTCTCCCTTGGCCTCTCCCCTTGAAGATACAACCAAAAGGACATTCATACACCAACAGAGGACATATACATATCACAAAAGACGTGTGAGAGACCCAGGCAGCCATACGCCTCAAGGTGGTCATGGGGCTGGGTCCTCCAGAGGAAGTGGAAACTGATCTGCAGGAGCTCCATGGAGAGAGACAGGCTGTGGCAGCAGGAAGTACACAGGTGAAAAGGGCAGCAGGGAAAGTGTGCAGTCCCAGAATCATCTGAAGCACAGTGCAGAGGGTGTGGCAGCAGTGTAGGGGAAAGTGCACAGAAGAGGGAGGTGCCCCATCCCTGCCCAACACTCCAGCCCCAGGATCACCCACAGCACAGCCCAGAGAGCTTGGTGGCAGCAGCAGGGAAAGTGTGCAGGTGAGGAGAGGCACCCTGTCCCCACCCAGCACCCCAGCTCCACTATCACCTGGTGCACAGAGTAGTGAGCAAGGGAGCAGCAGCTAAGAAAAAGGAAAGTGCACAGTCCTACAATCGCCCAGAGCTCCAAACAGAGAGACAAGCAGGGGCTGGGGGAAGCACTGGGGAGTATCCCTCCCCCTGTCCAGTGCTCCAGATCTGCTATTGATCAGTTGCTCAGAGAGAAAAGCAGTCAGTGGCCAGAGCTGAGGAGCCCCTGCTTGTGCCGGACCCAGAATACACAGCACCTGATCCCCACCCAGTGGTGATACGTGGCAGCTACGATCAGATAAGAGCACCATGAGGAAGCAAAAATCCACTCCATCAAGCAGTATGAGTAGATATACTAAATCTCCAGACCAGAAGGAAAGTGACAAGTACCCAGAAACCAACCCTGAAGGCAGAGAAATCCACAACCTAAATGACAAAGAATTCAAAACAGCTATCGTTAAAAAACCTCAACGAGTTACAAGAAAACACAGAAAGACAAATTAACAAATTCAGGAGCTTCTTCACAAAGAAGATTGAAACCGCAAAGAAGAACCAATCAGAATTGTTAGAGATGAAAACCATAATGGATGAAATAAAGAAAAATCCAGATTCCCTAAACAACAGAGCTCACAATATGGAGGAGAGAATCAGCCAGTTAGAGGATAGTGCTATAGGAATGCTTCAGAGGGAGGAGAAGAGAGAACTAAGACTAAAAAGAAATGAGGAAGCTCTCAGAGAAATATCTGACTCAATCAGGAAATGGAACATAAGTATTATAGGTATTCTAGAGGGGGAAGAGAAAGAGAATGGAGCAGAGAGCTTGTTGAAAGAAATAATAGCTGAGAACTTCCCAAACCTGGGGAGGGAGCTGGAAATCCATGTGAAAGAGGCCTCCAGATCTCCTAACATTGTCAATGTAAAAAGACCCACTCCAAGGCCTATAGTAGTGAAGCTGGCAAGAGTCAAGGACAAAGAAAATATACTAAGGGCAGCAAAGCAGAAGAAAATAACTTACAAAGGAACCCCTATCAGGCTTTTAGTAGATTTCTCAGCAGAAACCTTACAGGCTAGGAGTGGAATGATATATTCAAAATCCTGAAAGACAAAAACTTTCAGCCAAGAATACTCTATCCAGCAAAAATCTCCTTCCGATATGACAGGGAAATAAAAAGTTTCCCAAATAAACAAAAGCTAAGGAAGTTCATTGCCACAAGATCCCCCCTACAAGAAATCCTCAAGAAGGCCCTCACACCTGAAAAAAAAAAAGAAAGAAAGAAAGGGGCTACAAAGCCCTGAGCAAGGAGATGAATGGGTAGTCAATAATCAGAAAGTGACAGCTCTCTATCAGATCAGCTTAGTAAACACTTAATTTTAACATCAAGGATAAAGAAAAAGAAAACACCAAAACAAAAATGATCTCATCATTTTAACCACAAACTCACAACACACAAGATGGAAAAAGGTAGGAGAAAAATAACTTAGAAGGGAAGAGGAAAGGGATGGAATCAGTATAGCCTAAGGAAATAAGAGGCTATCAGAAAAATGGACTATCTCAACTGTGAGATTTTTTATACAAACCTAAGGATAACCACTAAAGAAATAATTAGAATAGAGATATTTATGATAAACAAGAAGAAAATGAAGAAAACCAACAGAGAAAACTACCTAATCAAATTGGTAGTCTGAAATACACAGGACAAGAAACAAAGGAAATGCAGAAGAACAAGGAAACATGTGATAAGATGACAACATTAAGCCCTCATATATCAATAATCACTCTAAATGTAAATGGATTGAATTCTCCAATCAAAAGACAGAGTGGCAGGATGGATTAAAGAACAAGATTCAACAATATGCTGCCTCCAGGAAACACCTCTCAGCTCTAGAAACAAATACAGGCTCAGAGTGAAGGGATGGAAGACAATACTCCAAGCTAATGGCAAACAAAAGAAAGCAGGTGTTGCCATACTTATATCAGACAAAGTAGACTTCAGGATAAACTGGTAAAGAGAGACACAGAGGGGCAGTATATAATGATAAAACGGACTTTCCACCAAGAAGACATAACACTTATAAACATGTCTTCACCCAACACAGGATCACCAAAGTACATAAAGCAACTATTAACAAACCTAAAAGCAGATATCAATGACAACACAGTAATAGTAGGGGACCTCAACACCCCACTTACATCAATGGATAGATCATCCAGACAAAAAGTCAACAGGCAGAAAGTGGACTTAAATGAAAACCTAGACCAGATGAACTTAACAGATATATAGAGAGCACTCCATCCAAAAACAGCAGAATAGACATTCTTCTCAAGTGCACATGGAACATTCTCAAGGACAGTCCATATATTGGGAAACAAGGCAAACCCCAATAAATTTAGGAAGATTGAAATCACATCTACTATCTTTTCTGACCATAATGCGGTGAAATTAGAAACCAACTACAAGAAAAAACCTGGAAAAGGAACAAAAATGTAGAGACTATACAACATGCTACTCAATAACCAATGGGTCATCAAAGAAATAAAGGGAGAAGCCAAAAAATATTTGGAGACACATGAGAATGAAAACACATCATTCCAATTCTTATGAGATGCAGCAAAAGCAGTCCTAAGAGGGAAATTTATAGCAATACAAGCCCATGTTAACAAACAAGAAAAAGCTCAAATAATCTTAAACTACACCTAACAGAATTAGAAAAAGAACAAACAAAGCCCAAACTCAGCAGAAGGAGGAAAATAATAAAAATTAGAGCAAAAATAAATGAAATTGAAACAAAAAAGACTGTAAAAAGGGTCAATGAAACAAGAAGCTGGTTCTTTGAGAGGATATACAAAATTGACAAACCCTTAGCCAGACTGACTAAGAGAAAAAGAGAGAAGGCTCAAATAAATAAAATTAGAAATGAAAGAGGAGAAATTACAACAGATACCAGAGAACCACAAAAGATTATAAGAGAATATTATGAAAAACCATATTCCAACAAAATGGACAACCTAGAAGAAGTGGGTAAATTCTTAGACTCTTACAATCTCCCAAAACTGAATCAAGAAGAAATAGAGAATCTGAGTAGACCAATCACAAATAAAGAGATTGAAACAGTAGCCAAAAACCTCCCCCAAATTAAAAGTCCAGGATCAGATGGCTTCTCTGGAGAATTCTACCAAACTTCTCAAACTATTCCAAAAAATTGAGGGAGACGGAAATATCCCTAACACATTCTACGAGGCCAACATCACCCTGATCCCAAAGCCAGACAAGGACAACACAAAGAAGGAAAATTACGGGCAAATAACACTGATGAACATAGATGCAAAAATCTTCAACAAAATATTGGCAAACCAAATACAGCAATACATTAAAAAGAGCATACACCATGATCAAGTGGGATTCATACCGGGGACACAGGGATGGTTCAACATCCTCAAATCAATCAATGTGATACACCATATTAACAAAAGGAGGAATAAAAACCACATGATCATCTCCATAGATGCAGAGAAAGCATTTGACAGGGTACAACATCTGTTCATGATAAAAACTTTCAATAAAACAGGTATAGAAGGAAAATACCTCAACATAATAAAGGCCATATATGACAAACCCAAGGCCAACATCATACTCAATGGGGGAAAACTGAAAGCCATCCCGCTGACAAGAGGAACAAGACAAGGGTGCCCACACTCACCACTCTTAATTAACATAGTACTAGAAGTTTTGGCCAGAGTAATCAGGCAGGAAAAAGAAATAAAAGGAATCCAAATAGGCAATGAAGAAGTGAAACTCTTGCTGTTTGCAGACAACATGATTTTATATATAGAAAACCCTAAAGAATCCATTGGAAAACTATTAGAAATAATTAAAAACTACAGCAAAGTTGCAGGATACAAAGTCAATGTACAAAAATCAGTGCCATTTCTATACTCTAATAATGAACTAACAGAACAAGAACTCAAGAATACAACCCTATTTACAATCACAACAAAAAGAATAAAATATCCAGGGATAAATTTAATCAAAGAAGTGAAAGACCTATAGAAAGAAAACTATAAGAAATTACTGAAAGAAATTGAGAATGACATAAAGAAACGGAAAGACATTCCACGTACATGGATTGGAAAAATAAACATACTTAAAATGTGCATACTACCTAAAGCAATCTACAGATTCAATGCAATCCCAATCAGAATTCCAACGATATTCTTCACAGAAATAAAACAAAGAATCTTAAAATTCACATTGGGCAACCAAAGACCCCAAATAGGCAAAGCAATCCTGAGAAACAAGAACAAAGCTGGTGGCATCACAATCCCTGACTTCAAAACATATTAGAAAGCTGTAGTAATCAAAACAGCATGGTACTGGTACAAAAACAGGTATACAGACCAATGGAACAGAATTGAAAGCCCAGAAACAAAACCACACATCTATGGACAGCTAATCTTTGACAAAGGAGCCAAGAACATACAATGGAGAAAGGAAAGCCTCTTCAATAAATGGTGTTGGGAAAACTAGATAGCCACACGCAAAAGAATGAAAGTAAATCATTATCTTCCTCCATACACACAAATAGACTTAAAATGGATCAAACATTTGAAGGTAAGACCTGAAACCATAAAACTTCTGGAAGAAAATATAGGCAGTATACTCTTTGACATCAGTCTTAAAAGGATCTTTACAAACACGATGTCAACTCAGACAAGGGAAACAAAAGAAAAAATAAACAAGTGGGACTTCATCAGACTAAAGAGCTCTGGAAGGCAAAGGAAACCAAGATCAAAATGAAAAAACAACCCACGAACTGGGAGAAAATATTTGCAAGTCATATATCCAATAAGGGGTTAATCTCCATAATATATAAAGAACTCACACAACTGAACTACAAAAAAATAAACAACCCAATCAAAAAGTGGGCAGAGGATATGAACAGACATTTTTCCAAAGAAGATATACAGATGGCCAACAGGCATGTGAAAAGATGCTCAATATCACTAATAATCATGGAGATGCCAATCAAAACTACATTAGATATCATCTTACACCTGTTAGAATGGCTATAATCACCAAGACAAAAAATAATAAATGGTGGAGAGGTTGTGGAGAAAAGGGAACCCCCATGCACTCTGGTCGGAATGCAAACTGGTACAGCCACTTTGGAAAACAGTATGGAGATTTCTCAAAAAATTAAAAATAGAATTACCATATGACCCAGCTATCCCACTACTGGGTATTTATCCAAAGAACTTGAAATCAACAATACAAAGAGACTTATGCACCCCTATGTTCATTGCAGCATTACTCACAACAGCCAAGACATGGAAGCAACCCAAGTAACCAGCGACTGATGATTAGATAAAGAAGATGTGGTGTATATATATACAATGGAATACTACTCAGCCATAAAAGAAAGACATAATTGTCCCACTCACAGTCACATGGATGGACCTTGAGGGCATCATGTTAAGCAAAATAAGCCAGACAGAGAAAGTCAAACACTGTATGATTTCACTCATATGTGGAATATAAGCAAACTTATGGACAAAGAGAACAACTTAGTGATTACCAGGGGGAAGGGGAGGGGAGAGAGTGGGCACAAGGGGTGCAGGGGCACATTTATATGGTGTTTGACAAATCTTAATGTACAACTGAAATTTCACAATGTTAAAAAACTATTTAGACCATAATAAAAAAAAAAAAAGAAAGAAAGAAATCCATTCCCAAGAAGCTGCCTCTATATCAAGGAAAGCCCTAGGACTTATTCTTCTATGGAATTCAGGTGCTGCTGACACTGTTCACTATATTTCTGTTCCTTCTTGCTCCCACAAGGGCTCTCTCCAAGGTAGAAAAAAACAATCAGGCAAGCTGTGATGGAGAACAAAAAATAAATAAATCCAAAAATGGAGCAGCCCACATGCCTGTACATTTACATTCTGATGGAATATTCAAAGTGCAACTGTCCTCTAATTTCAAATGTGCTCAGCTAAGGCTGTTTCCCAAATAGCAATGGCAGTCAAATTCAATACTCCAAATCCAGGGTCCTTTTGCTTACCTGCAATGGGCTGATTCTTTGTCCAACCACTCCTGGATGCTGTGGAGTCCGCCTCCAGGATGCTACTGCTGTGAGACTTTGGGATGTGATGCCAGGAAGGTGCCAATCCAGCTGATCTCTTAGCACTTGGATCCCTTCAAAAGAGAACCAGAGTCCAGTAAAAGAAACAGAAGGGTGATAAACTAGCAACATTCCTGGGACTAAATTCCCTCAAAAAAACAACAAAACATCAAACTAATATAATTAAAGTATCCACTATACTACCTCTGAAAAATTGAAATATCCATTCAGTCCCTCATCTTATCTCACCTCATTCACATTTTGTGCATCTAGCACAGTTTCTGGCACAAAGTTTACTTAATGAATTAATAAACAAATGCTCTCATATGGATTGCCTTCCTTCCTTACACCTTTGTAGCATCTTCTCATGTATAAAACTGAATAGGGTCCTGTGGCCAGGGAAGAACAATGGGAAAGTATGAGGATGTGGTTGCCACCCTTGAAGGTGTAATCACTCCTTCCAAAGCAGCTGTACAGTTAGGAAACTTGCCTCTGTGGCAACTCAGTAAAAACAATGTATGAAGATATGAAATTTATAGCAAAATGGGCCCTATGGACAGGGTACAATGAGCTTTATTAAACTGTCATCATCTTATGGAATTATGAATATCATTGGCTTCATTAAACACAGAATCCCCAGTGACCCTGAAAAAAAAGAACCTATCATAAAATGAAAGGCAAGAATAAATAGCAATTGAGTTTTCTCTCTGATCATAGGACTATATAAGTTTTGCTGCACTAATTCATTCTTTCATTAAAAGTAATTTACTAAACAATTATTTTACATATAATATTTAATTAAAAGTTATCTCCTTTCTCAAATGCCTTTGCTCTTTCTCCCAGCAGAGGGTGCTGTTGCCACAGAAATTTGATAGAGCACAATACTTTGCTTGCCCACACAATGGTAATAAAGTCCATCTCTCCACTTGTCTGAGTTGAAAAGCCTCCTGGTGGCTCACATTGCTGCACGGGACAATGCCGCTATTCAAAGGCCAAACAATACCTGCAGACACTGGAGCTCTCAGGAAGGGCTGCATCCAGGCTGACAGGGCTGCTGCTGTTCCTCTCACTGCTCTCATAGCCTGATTCCATTCGCTGAATTAGGCGAGGGTGCTGTTCTAAAAGGTGAGAGCCTGGCCGTGCTGGGCCCCAGGGCTTGTGCTGGGGGCTTGGTCCACCAGGTTTAACGTCGTAAGCAGGTGGCTTGCTTCGTTCATCTTGTGTAAATTCTTTAGCTATCCCGATCAAAGGACAAGTATGGAAAAGGAGGTAGATTTAGCATCTGCCTCAAATCAAGACATAATTAACCCCTCCCTCCAGCTACTCATTCACTGAACTCATATCCCCAAAAGGGTAAAAAGGCACTTTGCCAGGTCTACCAGAAAACCCAGCTTTTTAAATTACACAAATCAACTTTATTTAAAAGCCCAATTCTTCCCTAATTATCTTCTCACCTGAATCCTCAGAAAAGGGGCTAAGCTGGGTATAGCCACAGTGCTTTCTTTTGTCCTTACTAAAGATACTGTCAATATTTAGAGACTCTCGTTTGGGTCTCCATGTTGAACGATACTTGCTAGAAGAACTGGATTTTGACTCACTGCTGGTACTCTCTACTTCCCAGTCATGAGAGTGTAGAGGCAGGTTCCTAGGGGGTTTTTTGTCAGTCTGGTCTCCTCCCCTCCCCCCATAGGGAGATCCTAGATTGGTATGAGAAGCCAGGGATGGTCTGTTGTGGATCATATTGCTGACTGTTTCTTTAAAATCCCTCAGTCTGTTCGTGCTGCTGGATGGTTTAGAGGCATTCCTAGGAGCTTGCTTCTCTTTCAATGTTTCTCCTAAAAACACAAAGAATGAAACAAATATAAATATTTAAAATAATTATGGATACCCAGACCCTAAAGTTGAAGAAACAAGGAAAGCCCTTTGAGCAGAAAGGAGAAACCAGTCTGGTGTGTGACAAAAGTTTGATAGAGTGAATGAAGAAAGAGAAGCAATGCAGAGTGGCTTGCCTTCACTGTGGTACCCTGAGGCCTGTGGCTCATCGCCTTTCTTCCTAACCCTGCCAGAGCTCCTCTTGCGCTCGATCAATGACCCTTTCTTGGATGTGAGTTTCTGATTACATTCAGTATCAGTCAGGTGCCCTGGAAGAACAAGGAAATGGGGTAAGCTGGTATCTGAGACTAATCTCCACCTCTTGGGAACCTTGCCTCCCTTTGGGATTCACGGAGGTACCACAAATTTAGTGTATTCATGTATCAGAAGCTGTAGGGGCCAAGGCTATCTGCTTTAAGTGTAGCAGCAATCTCTCAATAGATAAATGCAGAGAAACTCAAGTATTTATTGGGAACTTTCCAATTTAAAGTGTTTCCTGAGCAATTAGCAGTCTCAATCTGCTCATAATCTTTCCCAGTGACCCAGAAGGAACATCACTTGGTAATCTTAAAAGGCAAAAGTTTTAAAGATTGTATAAAAATGTCATGTACCAATACATTTTCACTCTCATAAATAGAAGACAGAGCTTTCCTTTCACTTCTTTAGCAATACATACCAATAAAGCCTAATTTTTATTACATCTGGTATTATCCCAAGTGCCCTAGCCTTTGCCCACAGTTCTAAACCTACCTTAAATATGAATCACTTAAAAAGACATTTGAAATTTGAATAATTCTCATTCCTGGCCCCAACCCATGCTTTCCCAAATTCGGCTCCACCCAGAGATTACACTTCACTGTTCCTCAATACTAATCACTGGGAAATCCAGGAGATCTGGGTTCTTTCATGTAACTTGCCCTGCTTTATGCCCACAGTATGTAAATATATGAGTATGTTTTGATAAAAGCAAAGGTCAGATTTCAAAGGATACAATCATCTAAGCTGCAGAAGTCAGAGGCAAATTAAATTAGAAGGCAGGCTTAGAGAAAATCTAGATTCTCAAATGCACTGAGAGCTAAGAGAATTTTGTTTTCATATGTTAGTATGTGAAAATCCTTGTACATATTCAGGTATCAGCAGTGTAGTGATATGGCTACATATTTTCAATCAATTACCCATGCAATCTTTTATTACTTTTATCTGATCCTTTGCTACCTCTGAGCCCATAAGAAAGACAGGAGGAAATCACTTGAAGCAACTAAATCTACAAATGTTAAAGCAATGGGGGTATGCTACCCTACTCTCAGCTGTTCACAAACCCTTAACATAAACCTGACTCTCCCAGAAAATATCCCTTATTTATCCTGTGACTTGGCTTCTCCCTGGTTTGCAGTTTGAGAAATATGGTCAAAAAAAAATCACACTTTGCAGTAGTCATCTATGCAATAGTCACCAAAAGAAATCCAACATGAATCTGACCAAATCTCTCAATCCAACTACCAATTTACAAGAAATACAGAGCACAGAAAAAAAAAAGCTGAAGTGTGCCGTAGGAATACAATTACCAAAATTTAGAATCAGGGGAATCTACAAGACAAACTACCTAGTTCTTCAGCAATAAATTGCAAGGAAAAATACAGAGGGAAAACCTACAGATTAAAAGAAACATAAAAGACTTATCAACTCATTGCAATGTGTAGACCTCATTTGGATTCTGAGTCAAACCATTAAAAACTTATGACACTTGTAAGATAATTGTGTATTTGAATACTCACTGGTTATTTAGTGGTTTTAAGGAAGTATTGTTAATATTTTTAAATATGATAATGGTATATTAAAAAATGATTTCTATGGGGCCGGCTCTGTGGCCGAGTGGTTAAGTTCATGCGCTCGCTGCGGCGGCCCAGGGTTCGGATCCTGGGCGCGGACATGGCACCACTCATCAGGCCACGTTGAGGCGGCGTCCCACATCCCACAACTAGAAGGACCTGCAAGTAAGAGATATACAACTGTGTATGGGGGGGTTTGGGGAGATAAAGCAGAAAAAAAAAAAAAAAGATTGGCAACAGCTGTTAGCCCAGGTGTCAATCCTTAAAAAAAAAATGATTTCTTATGTTTTTGAGATACACACTAAAATATTTATGGAAAAAGTGATATAACATCTGAGATTTGTTTGAAAACAATCTAGGAGTGGGGAAGTGGGTTAAAGTACAGATAAAAGTAGTTTGGCCATGAATTATAATTATGAAATTAGGTGATGGGTACCTGGAGGGGCAGTATACTACTCTGTATAATTGTGAATATGTTTGAAACTCTCTATTTAAAAAAAAAGGCCACACACAGAGTATAAACCACCAATCTGAAGCCATGTGCTCACTAATTCCTAAGTCTCTAAGAGTATGGGCACTGTTCTATGCCTTAAGTGACGAACTTTTCATCTCAGCAGTCAGTCACCTGCTGTTCTTCCTCCTATGCCCTATATTGATTTCTTCCATGATACAGGTGCAGTCTTCTATAGATTAACAGAACAATTCAAGAATATTCTCTGCTTGGAACCACAATAGCAAACAGGCTAGCTTTCCTTCTTTTGCTTTTTGTAAGGCGATCAGCAAGTATCCCCTGCCCATAAATATACTCCTTCTCCCAAAGTCCTTCACTTGGTACAAAGCCTGGCATGAGAATATGATGAGGTGCAAGACCGCAAGGGTTTAATGGAGCACTATGAGAAGGACAGGGATCATGAGCATAGCAGGAGAAAAGTAGATTTCAGAATAAACAATCACATCAATAATCACATCACAATGGTTCTTACTGATATGCTGCTGTTGACAGGAATATGTGGAATGGAACATTATCATTTATTCAGAATTGCATTGCTTCTTTTCATCCCATTCAATTACCCAAGTTCTGTGCCTTTCCCCCTTTGCATGACAAATATTTCTGACTTGCCCCAGTTTCTTTTTCTTGAGAGACCCTCTATGTAGGAACTGAATCAGGCTAGCTGGGTCCACTGTATAAGTCCCTACCTGTGTCCCGACTGCTCTGAGACGTGGAATCATTCTCCACATTATAGATGACTGTCCCCTGAGAATCAGAAGAGAAGTGACTGACCACAGACTCATGGTGGGAGTTTTTGTAGGGATAGCTCTCCGTTGAGGAATCTGTTCGAGTATCACTTGAGATGGAGGGCTCCCTCCCTGAGGGAAGGAGGAGACATATATGCAAAAGTGAGGTAAGAGAGAAGGACAGTGATAGAGAGGGGGAAAAGAGTTGGATGGTAACAAAGGTCCATAAGGCAAGAACTTCCTAGATGGAAGGGTGAGAAGGATATACTAGAGCCATTCTTCCCAACACCCAGCTTCCAGATAACCCAGACACACAAACAATTCTTCCCATTCCTGCCCCTACCTTACTGAAGCCCTCACTTTGCCTGCCACTGTGAAAAACTGTGGGGTTTTTAGAAAACCTATGGGGGGGGGGGGGAGGGAAGCGGAAGAAAGGAAAAAGTTGTGAAAAGTAAGATCTACTTAGATGGAGAGTCCCAGGCCGACCTGGCATACATAACCAGTTGTTCCCCTGTCCCATAATTTTTCTCCTATACTGCCAGAAATGTCACTTTAAAGATTTTAATTGACATTATAAGCATTTTTAATCTCTCTGAGAAATTATGGAGCTGTTATTTATACTTTAGTGTGAATTAGTTCAATCAGACTACTCTCTTCTGAACACCTAGCTGAAATATGCACAAGAATGGAAATGAGTGTTTGACTGAAGGAGAAGTAGGGCAGGTCTGGGTGAGGTACAAGGATGGGAAGAACACCAGGTACCAAGCAGGAGGGAGGCACAAAAGGGAGCGACAAAGATTCTAAAGACAAGTGTCTTGTCTTTCAAAATTATACTCAGGGCCAGTTCTAGCAGAGGAAAAGAACAATTCTTTTTCCTCCTTTTCAGGAATCAAGCCAAAACCTTTAGGGTTATATTTCTAATATATTATGAGCCTCTGTGGGCTAGCAAATTGTTTCTACAGGAAAGCATAACAAGTTCCAAACAATTGAATTAGAAGTGAACAACTGATTCATATTGCTATTGCACTTGGCATTTTAAAACCAAAAAAAATCTCTTATCTCAAACAAAATGGCTAGCTTTGTACTAACATATATCATTTTTCTTGGTCTTAACAACTCACTTAAGTCACTGTTAAGAATCAGTCATCTCTACCAGTATTAGAAGTTAAATACTGAGATTTCCCTCACAAACTTACTATCTCAGTCTAAATCAACATAATTTCCTTCTCACTTTTGAACTGGGGCCAGGTGATTTAGGCAACACATTCTTGAAGGCTGAAGGAAACAAAGCCTGGCACAACTTGGGCTTCAGCATAAGTTGGCACTTCTTTCCTATCTTTAATGGAGCCTCTTTCTCCAAGCTAGGTTATATACTAGGCTCATGATTAAGTATGAGTCCCAAATGTCCAGTGATCACATTGGAGGGGAGAAGGGGAAGGCAAAGAGCTGGGCTGCTCACCTGAATCTTCACTATCGTAGCACATCCTGCTGTACGACTGGAACTCAACCTGGGGAGGCAGGTCCTGGGTAGACACTGGGGTACCCTGAGGGTCTGCATAAAGCAGTAGCAAAGGCTGATAATGACCCTTGATGCATTTGGTCACCACATCCTTCCATTTGGGTCCAATCTGAATCAGAAAAAAACAGAACAACATGACAATTATACTTCATATCCACAATTCAAAACATACCTCCATGTTCTGTTTTTCTAAAGAGAATAAAAGAGATGAAAAGACAAGAATGGGGTAAAGAGGGGTCAGCCCCATGGTCAGGTGGTTAAGTTCTACGCTCCACCTCGGCGGCCCAGAGTTTCGCCGCTTCAGATCCCGGTTGCAGACATGGCACCACTCCTCAGGCCATGCTGAGGCAACGTCCCACATAGCACAACCAGAGGCACTCACAACTAGAATATACAACTATGTACTGGGGAGCTTTGGGAGAAGAAAAAAAAAGAACTGGGTAAAGAGACAACGAAAGAGATCTTAGAACTAAACTTAATAAATTTTTTGTTAAATCCTTTTAGAAAGCATTAAAACCCTGTAATTAAAACCCTGTAAAAAGTAATAAAAATTACTTTTATTAAAACCCTGTAAGAGATAGGAATGCTGAATAAAATTACTTTTATTACATCAATTCAATTGTAAAACATAAATAAAAGTTTTCAAAGGTGAATAGGTTATGTGAGGGAGCTTCAGCTGTCTTGGTGATCAATTTCTTTTTACAAACACCAAATTAAGGCCCTTGCTTGAAGTTTGCATTTCTATAATTTTCTCCTAAATATTAAAATCACTTTTATAAAGCTAAAGAGCAGACAGAAACTCTTTCACAGACTGCCTTAGAATCAATGACGTTCCTTTTCAGAGTTTACACATGGCAGGACATAAAATGTCAAAATGCTTAGAATTGACAGCTGAACTTCCTGGCCTTAGGTTTGTGTTGGATTCTGTGTTGTCATGGCAGTGGAAAAGAGTGACAGAATAGCCATGGGAACAACAATTCAATCAAATCCCCAAACTCATCCTCTCTTAAGCTTGAACCAGGTCACATTCTTAGTCGGAGTCAGACAATTAGCAAAACGCTCATTTCATAATAGATGTTCAGTAAATTTGTAACTGAGTTTTCACTATTTTAACTAAAACATATGCTTTTTACATACAAATCTTATTTAATATCTCATAAGGCAGGTATTATTTTTCAATAAAAAACCTGAAGCTCAAAGAATTTATATAAGTTGCCCAAAATTATAAGAGCAAAAAAAAGAGAAGAAGATGAAGAGAGTCAGGGAATTTGACAGAGACTTTCCTATTTGTGGAACACACGGTTTTGAGGCCCATGGATTGGTGTAGCTTATAGTCAGCAGTCTCCTAGCTGCTAACTTTACCACAAGAGGCTTCCTAACTCACGCAGATCACTTAAATTACTTCAGCAAAGACTCTGTGGTTTAGATAATACCAAGTTTCCAGCTTTAAACATCACCATAGCCCTATTTTCTCTATATTATCCCAAAACACGTTAAGCTGTAATAGAGCACCTTAGGGAGCTAACAATCAGAGAATACTTTATAGCCACCCTGAGACAAAGTATTACCCACTGATAATTCCAAGATTTGGAATTCTGAACTTTGTGCTAACCTTATAACCTACTTCAAGGCATTAGACTGTTCTCACTCAAATCAACCAATTAACACATTAAAAAAATACTTCGTCAACTATAAATACAGAACTGTGATGCACTTCAGAGAAAATAATAGAAGATATATTGAGGCTGTCCTCAAGGAACGTGCTGTCTATTGGGGAAGACAAGACTGATACTCTCATAAATTCAACAAATAAGCAGGCAGACATCAAAATTATAAAAATGAAACACTGAAGACAAATAATTATCCTCAGTTTTTTGTTTTAGTCACCGAACACTTCAACAAGGGCTTGAATATTCCTACCTCCTTGACATGAGCATCATCAAAATACATCCATTTGCGGATCTTTGTTTGGAAAAAGAATGTAGAATAATGTTTGCCATAGTAACAGATCATTCCTACTAAGTACAGTTCAGACTGTTTGGCCCGGTCATCTGTCACTCTGAAAAACAGCTGTTGGGAAAGAAGAGAAAAGGAACAGTCACATACTCAACCCTCTCACATCTTCTCTCAGCAGACTCCATCATTTCTTAATTAAGGTACTGACTTGCTTCTCCACCCTTCAGTCTACAATTTTTTTGCTAGTCCATATTAATCATCAGAAATGAACCTAAAAAGGCAAAATGTAGGGAAAAGCAAGACAGATAGGGCCAGTAAACTGGTAAGGTGGTGATATTTCTTCATACCTTTCAATAATATTTTCTGGCTGGGTCCTATCATAGGAGGAGGCAGGAAAGTTGAAAAAATAAAACAAAACAACTCTCAAGTCTCAAAAGTTATTTATCACCTAGCACCACAAATATAAATTTCCTGCTGATACCCTAAGTAGTGGGTAAGAAAGCCCTTAGGAGGAGCAATGCTGCCATGCTGATTACCAGCATTTCAATTCCTAGATGTCCAGGACTGTCCTAGGTGCTAAGAGACATACAAAAAGAATTTGAAGAAAAAGATTCTTGCCTTGAGGAACTTATCTGATTGAGAAAACAATCATAAAAATAAAACTAGAACAGTACAGAATATGTAGGCTACAGAAATCTATAAAAAAGAGATTCTATTGTGCATAGCCTACTCATGTCAGAGATTACTTGGGAAGGAGACCTAAAACAAGATTTCAGATAGTTCATTTATTTTCATTAGTGGCTTAATGACATTAAAAAACAACAGGAGATCTTCTTAGTCACAAAACTATCCCAGAGAATAACCAGTAGAAAGAAAACCACAGAGTTTCTGGTTCTTCTCTTGAACTGAAGGAAAACCCTGGCTGTACCTACACCAGGGCACAGACCTGATAAAGTCAAGACCCCATCACATCTGAAGTCTGTTTCCCTATTTCCCTAAACAGATACATGGAAAATCTCTAAACCACTAAATTCTCTTCCAAGTGATTTTATTACTTTCTCAACAGACACTGGTTCTTCACTGTGAATTTCGTATTCTAGGGCTAAGGTCACCAACTTTTACCTCCTTCACCTCCCATAGCAGCTGTAGTCAACATTGCTCACTTCTTTGACCTTACTACCTCCCATGGTTGAATACACCTCCCTACTCTAGACTGATATAAACCAGCAATGAGTAGAGCACACAACTCTATAAACTGTTTGATTTTTATCAGTAGCTAAGCTCTGCCCATCATGTTTTTCAAGGCCAAGGTCATCCCTTTTCTTCTAAAGTCTTTGCCACCTACCCAAAGAAGGTATGTGAGCATATACATGCATGCATCTGTATGTGGACACATATACACTAGTATAATTTGTCCAAAGCTCTATAATGTTTGTCATCTAGGATATACCTTTGTGTTCAGTGTTCACTGCTCTTGAGCAATACTAAGACACAAGAACTCTAAGTCAGAGATAAAGGTAACTAACACTCACATCACCCAGTTTAAGGCAAGTGCCCAGGCTGTGGATGACATCCTCTGCCAAGTCTGAGTGGTCTGAGTCCCACACCAGTCCAATCGTGATAATCTGTGGAGCGTTCATCAACACACGGCGAATCCGAATCCTCTCTCCACAGTTGCTCTGAAATACATATATAAGGGTAGTTTGACATGTTTCCCACTGGCTCTGCCTCAATTCTACTAATTCTAGGGTTCCCCTCACCACTCCAATCCCCACCCCTGACTTGACTCACCGGACAGTTCCGCAGATCCCCCATGGTGCTGGCATTCTGCAGCAGCTCACCAAACATGCTTGGTGAGGGTTTTTCTCGTCTTTCCAGCATACAAATAGCCTGATTGCTTCAAGATGGGGAATGGAAGTGGGATGATGGTGGGAATTGTATAGAGTTATATATCTAAATCAAATAAATCATTCATGCTCACTCCTAACTCACATGTTTGACTTCCTCTGCCCACTATACCAAAGCCCCTTGTTCTAACAAGCCTCAGTGTCCCACAAACACACTGGGTACCTCTGCCTGTCCCCAAGTCCAAAGCTCATAGAATCTCCATTCCTCCTCCCACTTTGCTGGCCAGAACTGAGCCAAAGAAAAGGTGAGGGACGGAAGGAGAAAGAAGGAGAATACAGGTTATGTTAAAACTACTGTTCTGGGTTCCTACCATATAGCATAGACTCAGCAATAAGGATATAAGCTATCTGGATGCCTTCAGTTAAAACCCAAACTAAAGGAGCGCCTAAGAGTACCATCAGGGAACCCTGTAAGACTCACCAAAGGGAAGTGGTGGAGATGTAATGCACCATCTGGATGAAAGGCAGTGGATCAGAAGTGGCGCCACAGCTAGTACATACACACTAGGCCCAGGGAGAAAAAAGCAAAACCAAGCAGCCACAGTCATTAACTGTTTTCGTACCCAAATCTAAGAAGTGATGGAGATAGAGATAAGGTTCACCTGCTCAAACAAAGTCATTGCAAATTTCTGGTGGGAGATGCAGTGTTGGGCAGTACATATATCCTCTTTGGTTTCATCAGCAATGTGGAAGTGAATTCTCATCAGGAGATTTTCCTAATAGGCAAAGAACAAAAGCAGTAAATCACAATACAAATGTATTGTACAAATTGGTTGGCAGTTTACTCAGAGAAACAGCAATTCTCTTAGAATGTAGGAATACCCTGACTTTTTTTAACTTTTTAATTTGAAATGATTATAAATTCATAGGAAGTCTCAAAAAAATTATACAGGAGGTCCATGTACCTTTCACTCAGTTTCCCCCAATGATAACATCTTGCATAAGTATAGTAGAATATCCAAACCAGGAAATGGACATCAATACAATACAGAGTTTTCAGATTTCACCAATTTTACACACACTCATTTGTGTGTATAGCTCCATGCAATTTTACCCATATAGAGAGTCATGGAATCACTACCAAGATATAAAATTATTCCATCACCACAAGGCTCCCTCATGCTAGCCCTTTATAGCCTTACCCACCCAAACCCAACCCTAACCCCTAGCAACCACTAATCTGTTCTCTGATTTCCATAATTTTATTTCAAGAATGTTATATAAATGGGATAGTATATAGTATATAATCTTTTGATATTACATTTTTCACTCAGTATATCCCTTTGGATCCATTCAAGTTATTGTGTAAATCAACAGTTCATTCCTTTTTGTTGCTGCACAGTATTCATGGTATCTAAGTACCACAGTTTGTTTCATCATCTACCCATCAAAGGCATTTGGGTTGTTTCCAATTTTTGGCTACTACAAATAAAGCTTCTATGAGCATTCATGTATAAGTTTTTGTACGAACATAAGTTTTCATTTCTCTGGGATACATGTCCAGGAATGCAACTGCTTAATTGTATGGTAGTTTGCAAGTATAGTTTTTTAAGAAATTGCCAAACTGTTTTCCAGAGTGGCTATACCATTTTGCATTCCCACCAGCAATATATCAATGATCCAGTTTCTCAGGAGTACCTCTGATTTTGGTGTACACTTTACCCTGTAATGGGACGTATATGACTCTCAGATGTTTTTAATGATGCACAGAGAGTCTTTTGAAGATTGATGGATAGAACCAAGTTCAGAAGAGTTAGGGTCTTCTACTAAAAGTCCCAGGGAACAATGTAGCCATCTAAATAGTACATCACACTTGTGCTAGGGATTCAGCTATTCTCTGTTTAATTATCCTTAGTAATGCAAGAGTTCTCAAAGTGCAGTCCCCAGACCTGCAGCATCAGTATTAGCATCACCTGGGAACTTGTTAGAGCTAGATATTCTTGGACTTCACTCTAGACCTATTTAATCAGAAACCCAAGGGGATGGGGCCCAGCAATTTATATTTCAATGAGTCCTGTCTCCTCTGAAGGTGAGAGCCACTGTTTTATGCAATGGCAAGCACAAAATTACCCTAAGCTTGAAGAAAAAAGAATAAACCCACTAGGCAATTCATACTGCATTAGAAGAGACACCCTAGAGCTCTGAGAAACCAGGGAAATTCCTAATTGTAACTGTAGAGACAAGGGGCACAGTAAATACCACAGGAAAGTAGCCAGTCCCTGATGGAGACTATCAGCAGTTCCACTCCACATCAAAGAGTGCCAGAGGCCAGCACTTACAAAGCACTCCGCAGCATCATCCATAATTCCCAGCTGGAAACGCTGTTCATCCTGGAATGTCTTTGCCAGAGCACTGCGAACAGTGTCAGATGGAAGCACTTTTTCACTACTACACTGAAACTGGTTAAAGATTCCCTGTAGGGAAGAGGTTAGACAAGGGAATGAGCACAGTGCTGTTATGAAGCTTCCACACATCCCCATCTGTCATGCTAGCATCTCCATGCTTATAGCTATGGAACCAAATGTACTTCCCGTGAGTTGATATGCTTGCAATTAGTAATAAAAAAGGAAAAAATCAAGAGTCAGAGTAAAGGGCATGTTCTGTGCTAATAAGAATCCTTGCTCTTCCACCCGAATGTGACACCATCAAGAACACATTAGGAGAGACAATTAACCTCACGTGTTAATGTAATGCAGTTACCTCATTTCTTCTGATACAGATAGAGGTAGGTGGTCTATAGTCAACAAGTATAAATTATATGTAAATGGATGAAAATTATTCTCTGGGGGCTCATCCTATGAAACTTGGCCCCTTCTTTTAAACTGTTCAGCTAGTTTAAAATTGCCCCAAAGTACAAAGAATAATATAACAAACACCTACATGTCTAACACCCAGAAATAAACCTTCTATCATGCTTACTTCTAATGCACACATAAAGCTAAAGTCTTGCTTAAGACTGCCCACTCTTCACCAGCCACTCACTCTTATGAGTTTGTTGCATAATCTTCTGTTTTTAATACTTTTACATATGTATGTATGTATATATCCCTAAATAATACATAATACACTTTTGTGTGTGTGTTTTGTTTATGTAAAAAGTATCACACTGACTTTTAATTTTTTTTAAATTCAGCATTGTTTTTGAGATCTACCCATAATGATATACATATATATAGAGAGAGAGACCTGGTTCATTCCTTTTCCCTACTGTATAGTATTTTATCAGGTGATTATACCACATCTATTTATCCATTTCTTTATTGACAGACATTTTGGCAGTCTCCAATTTTTTGCTATTGTAAAGAGGCTATGCCAACTTATACTTCCACCAGTGCATGAAAATAAATAAATTTCCCGAAATCCTTACCATGGGGATAAGGCAGGCTGGTTAATTTTAGTCTTTATAACTACATTTAGTTTTTACCGGTCTTGTCCTGTGGCAAGTATCTTTTTCCAGTCTTCTGGTGTCTTTTACGCGCAGCAGTTTTTTATTTTGGAGTAATTAAGCATACCTATCTTCTCCATCTTTACTTACATCTAAAGCAATGCTGAATGTGATGTCCAGAGAATGGAAACAAACCTGACTCGATGAGTCCTTCTCAAGTGGTATCGGACCTTCCCCACAGAGGTCAGGATGTACTCCTTGACCTCATGTGGCCCAGATCCTCACTAAACCAATCAGATAAACAACTCACTCAACAATGAGTTACATGCCATTGTCAACATGCCAAAGAATGTCACTCGCTTGAAATTCTTGTTAGTAATTTCTTCATATGTAAAAATCCCAGGGTTATTTTTCAGACTTACAAATAAGACCAGAAATGAACTTTTTAACTTCCTAACTTTTTAAACTTACCTATGTGATCTAAGAATAGGAGGCCCCATCAACCTAGTCATAGATCAAGAATGGTCATCTTACTTGACCTACCAACAGCTCAGTAACTCATTCTCTTCACGTTTTTATCCAAATATTACCTTCTCAATATAGTATTTCCTGATTATTTTATTTAAAATTGCAAGTTCCACCACCTCTTCTCCAAACCTCCCAGGCTTATCTGTTTTATTTTTCCCTGTGTCACTTACCACCATCTATCATACCAGATATTTTACTTATTCATTGTCTGACTACACTCTCTAGAATATAAGTATGAGGACAGAACTTTTTGTCTTTTACTTCTCTGCTTTACTCCCAACACCTAGAATGGTGCTGGCATATAGAGGGCAGCCAATAACTAGTTTTAAAGGAATGAATGGTGTGATATGGGCAGATCTTACTAAGGGAAGATATTATTAAGTCCCCTATCCTTTTTTAAGCAGATAAAGAATTACCTAGAAACGATGAAAATTTTTCTTAAGGTAATATAACTGGTTAGAGCAAAATTGTACTAAATCTCATTCTACTAATTTAAAGTCAGAACTGCTTTCCTCATTCTACTCTCATTAGCATCGTTTTTCTTCATACATATTAAACATCTATCCCCACAGCAGCTCAAGAAAAACTTACTACGTAACTTGCTATTATTTCCCTAAAAATGATTCTATATGATGTGGAGGAGGCAGTACCAGCAATACATATTTAGTATTATTTAATAAGCTAGGAGATGGGGGGGAATCTATTATAATTACTCCATGTTATTTTGAGCTAACCTAGAAATTCTTCACAAGCCTATTATAAGATCAGATAAAGGCAGGGCACGACCTTCCATAATTTGTTGCTGAAAGTGGAAGAATGTCTATCAATGACCTCTTCAACTAGATCAAAAGGAAAGGCCTAGGGGACTGGCCCTGTGGCACAGTGGTTAAGTTTGGCATGTTCTGGTTTGGTGGCCCAGGTTTGTGAGTTCAGTTTCCAGGTGGGTACCTACACCACTCGTCAGCCATGCTATGGCAGCCACACACATATAAAGTGGAAGTAAACTGGCTCAGATGTTAGCTCAGGGCTAATCTTCCTTAAGCAAAAAAAAAAAAAAAAAAAGAAAAGAAAAGAAAAGGAAAGGCCTAGGTCCATAGTTAAACACTCCCAGAGGGCAAATGGATACCTGCCAAGTGACCTATGGGATTCTGAAACTTGGAATGTGGAGAAACAAAAGACAATGAAGGTGGGAAAAGCAGCAGTGACTGCTTCTGCAAATAATGGTAGTCTAACCACTTGATGATTTGCTGAAAGAAAGTCACCTCACTATCATATCCCAAACTGCTGCTCTTCTCAATTGTTAATGGTAAGACATTACTGCTGACAAAGGCTCTACATCTCTAGAGCAATGGATGGAGGAGGTTTGGTCTTTTGTCCAGAGTCCAAAACTGGTTCCCCAAAACAAACCAACAGGAAATTAGTTCCAGGATTATACTGTACAAATATGATATTTGCAAACTACAGCCCCTTTAGTCTTTCTCAACTGGTTTTCCTCAAAAATTAAGCCTTAATACTCTAAGGCATCAACATTCCTAATGAATTAACTTCTGTTCTATGCATAGCACTAGTTGTTACCATCCTTGAGACAGAATTAAGAAAATAGTCACTCAAATCACTTTCTGTGTTCTGCAATTCAGATGACCCCATTTGAGAAAGGACAGGGCTCCACTGAGAGATGGCATAGAGTAATAGTTAGCGTGGACTCTGGAACCACACTATCTGGGTTCAAAATCCCAGCCCTGTTACCTATGATCTACATAATTTTGGTCAAGTTACTTTACTTCTCTAGGCTTCAGTTTCCTCTTTTAAAAGAGGATTAAGAATAGTATTTACCTCTTAGGGTTATTTAAGAATTAAACAAGTTATCTCTATCTCTATCCAACTGTCTATCTATATATCTTAGACTAATGCCTGGCAGCATGATAAGTGCTATCTAAGTGTTAGCTATTGTTATTATTCTATTTGGGAGCATTTTAGGTTTCTAAGGAGCCTATCTGCCACTGACCTACGCTGAAGAAGGGCCTTGAGTCAGAAATGTTTCTACCTTGAGCTATCTTCCCAGTCTCTCAGATCTGGGTAGGAAGGACAAAACTCTTCTCTATTCTGTTGCTCCTATTCAAGAGAGGAAGATTTCTCCTGACCTAAATAACAAAGGTTTAGCGCAGAAAGGGAAAGACCTAGTCAGAGCTCTGCTTGCATCCACAGTGGATATGCAACAACAGATCTGGCACTTGCGTTCAGTAGCACCAACCTCCCCATGATATACTCTTTTCTCACCTCTTAATTACAGGCAGCTTTCTCCAGGCATACTGACTATCTGAATGCATTCAGAATGGCCTCTGCCTGCATCTTCTTTATTTTCTTATTTTAATTATTGTTATTGGTCTCGCTCTGCTATTGTCAGGAAGAAGCAAGTGTATCAGGGATGAAGCAGGCTGAGCTAGCCCAGCATGCATCTGTGGAGCCGCAGCTCTGGAAGAAGCTGTAGCACAAAGCCCCTCTGTTAGGGCAGCACACTAACCTCTGTGTATCCCTCTCACATGAGCACAGGGCTGGAACGGGCCTCCTCCTGTTCCCTTTTTCACCCTCCTCCCACCTTTCCCAGAGGGAGATCCTGTTCACAGCAAAGAAAGCCAAGAACATTTAGTTCAGCAATAAGAACAGGTGGTAGCACCAATAAGGAACAAAAACTGGTATTCTTCCAATTGCTGAGTTCTATGGCAGGGAGGGAGAAAGGGCAGGAAGAACCGAAACCTAGGAATCACTTTTCCCTGTGGGGTCTCTGATGGTTTCATTTCAATAAACAGAGAAAACCCACCTTTGAGGGTTCTCTCTGCTCTTCTTCACAGGGTGAAACCAAAGGTATTCCTTTTCATTTTCAGGAAAAGGCAAGTGACTTTTTGTCTGTTTGCTGTTTTCTTGGATGTAGTGCAAAAGCAACACGACTTTAATAACTAAAAGCAGGTGCTTCCCCACCCATTTCTCTTGGATCAAGTAGCAAATAATTCTACCCCGATGAACACATAATTATTTGGATTAGTAAAACACCATGTAAATAAGATAGAAGTGCCATAAAGACAGAAAGTCTTTGTGCTTTGGCATTTACAAATGCAGCTGTTGCTTAAGTTTTTTCCCTCTAAAACATAGCTCTTGTCTTTAGGCAGGGAACAGCTGTTTGTTTATCTTTCAGGATTTCCTAATCGTGCATCTAAAAGAAGTCATAAGTAGAGAAGATAGGGGTCAAGGAGAAGGGCTGTCACTAAACTTCATGTTTTATGGGCCTTAAGTCTTTGGAAAGTGCCCCAGTCATGAGTCCAACTCATCCCTAAGATGTCTCCAGCAACACCTCTGCAAAGGCCTGACACACTTTATGCACTGCTACTAATTCAATTCTTAGCGGTTTCTCCTCTTGATCTGGGCTTCCCAAATCGCTCATCATTTTAACTCTCATAATCGCTCTTTTTCTCCACACCTCCTGGAAACCATAAACCTAAATAAACT